AAAAGTCATAGTATGGTAAGTCATAAAAAGTCCTAAAAAGGACATCGTATAGTATGTATGGCATAAAAAGTCATAGTATAGTAAGGCATAAAAAGTCATAGTATGGTAAGTCATAAAAAGTCCTAAAAAGGACATCGTATAGTATGTATGGCATAAAAAGTCATAGTATAGTAAGGCATAAAAAGTCATAGTATGGTAAGTCATAAAAAGTCCTAAAAAGGACATCGTATAGTATGTATGGCATAAAAAGTCATAGTATAGTAAGGCATAAAAAGTCATAGTATGGTAAGTCATAAAAAGTCCTAAAAAGGACATCGTATAGTATGTATGGCATAAAAAGTCATAGTATAGTAAGGCATAAAAAGTCATAGTATGGTAAGTCATAAAAAGTCCTAAAAAGGACATCGTATAGTATGTATGGCATAAAAAGTCATAGTATAGTAAGGCATAAAAAGTCATAGTATGGTAAGTCATAAAAAGTCCTAAAAAGGACATCGTATAGTATGTATGGCATAAAAAGTCATAGTATAGTAAGGCATAAAAAGTCATAGTATGGTAAGTCATAAAAAGTCCTAAAAAGGACATCGTATAGTATGTATGGCATAAAAAGTCATAGTATAGTAAGGCATAAAAAGTCAGTATAGTATGGCATAAAAAGTCATAGTATAGTATGGCATGAAAACATAGTATGGTAAGTCATAAAAAGTCCTGAAAACGACATAGTATAGTATGGCATTAAAACGTCATTATGGTAAGTCATAAAACGTCATATTATGGCAAGTCATAAAAAGTCATGAAAACGTCATAGTATAGTGAGGCATAAAAAGTCCTAAAAACGACATAGTAGAGTATGGCATAAAAAGTCATAGTATAGTAAGGCATAAAAAGTCATAAAAACATCATAGTATAGTAAGGCATGAAAAGTCATAAAAACGACATAGTATAGTAGGGCATAAAGTCATAAAAACGTGATAGTATAGTGAGGCATAAAAAGTCATAATATAGTAAGGCATGAAAAGTCATAAAAATGTCATAGTATATTAAGGAATAAAAAGTCATAGTATAGTAAGGCACAAAAAGTCATAAAAATGTTATAGTATAGTAAGGCATGAAAAGTCATAGTATAGTGAGGCATAAAAAGTCATAAAAACACCTTAGAATAGTAAAGCATAAAATGTCAGAAAAACGTCATAGTATAGTAAGGCATGCAAAGTCATAAAAATGTAATAGTATAGTGAGGCATAAAAACGTCATATTATAGTATGGCATAAAAAATCATTAAAAACGTCATAGTATAGTAAGGCATAAAAAGTCACAAAAACATAGTACAGTAAGGCATAAAAAGTCATAAAAACGTCATAGTATAGTAAGGCATAAAAAGTCATAGTATAGTAAGGCATTATAGTAAGGTATAAAAAGTCATAAAAACGTGATAGTATAGTGAGGCATAAAAAGTCATAATATAGTAAGGCATGAAAAGTCATAAAAATGTCATAGTATATTAAGGCATAAAAAGTCATAGTATAGTAAGGCACGAAAAGTCATGAAAATGTTATAGTATAGTAAGGCATGAAAAGTCATAGTATAGTGAGGCAAAAAAAGTAATAAAAACACCATAGTATAGTAAAGCATAAACCGTCAGAAAAACGTCATAGTATAGTAAGGCATGCAAAGTCATAAAAATGTCATAGTATAGTAAGGCATAAAAATGTCATAGTATAGTAAGGCATAAAAAGTCATAGTATAGTGAGGTATAAAAAGTCATAAAAAGGTCATAGTATAGTAAGGCATAAAAAGTCATAAAAACGTGATAGTATAGTAAGGCATAAAAAGTCATAAAAACATAGTATAGTAAAGCATAAAATGTCAGAAAGTCATAGTATAGTAAGGCACGAAAAGTCATAAAAACATACTATAGTAAGGCATAAAAGGTCATGAAAACGTGATAGTATAGTAAGGCATAAAAAGTCATGAAAACGTCATAGTATAGTAAGGCATAAAAAGTCGCAAACAACATAGTACAGTAAAGCATAAAAATGTCATAGTAAACTAAGGCATAAAAAAATCATGAAAATGCCATAGTATAGTAAGGCATAAAAAGTCATAAAAACATCATAGTACAGTAAAGCATAAAAAGTCACAGTATAGTAAGGCATAAAAAGTCATAAAAACGACACTGTAGAAGGACTTAAAAAGTTGCAAAAATGTCCTAGTATAGTAAGGTATTAAAATGTCATAGTATACTAAAGGCATAAAAAGTTGTAAAAACCACATAGTATACTAAGGCATAAAAACATAGTATAGTAAAGCATAAAAAGTTGTAAAAACGTCATAGTATAGCAAGGCATAAAAAGTCAAAAATGTCATAGTATAGTAAGGCATGAAAAGTCATAAAAACAACATAGTATAGAGAGGCATAAAAACAACAAAAATGTCACAGTATACTAAGGTATAAAATCATAAAACGACATAGTATAGCAGGGCATAAAAAGTCGTAAAAACGTCATAGTATGGTAAGGCATAAAAACGTCATAGTAACATGTCTCTACCATCCATATGCAAACCTATGCCCTTGTATTAAACTATTAATAAACAATAACTAACAAAGTTTTTTTTGTGGTATTTTATGGGTTGTAAATTATTTAAAAATGTGATGCTCCTTTATTGTTTCCACCTGCCTATACAGTAAATATTTAGGTGTGTGCATAATGGAAATTAAGTCCCTGAGTTTAAATCTCAGACACTGATATGTTGATGCGTACACACAAGACTAATTGACATTTTCTCCTTTTGTGCACAGTCTTAAATTTTTTTAGTTTATATTCTGACTTACACTCCAATAGGCCCCATGCCAGGTCCTCCTCCACCGTGAGGGATGCAGAAGGTTTTGTGAAGGTTCAGGTGAGACACATCAGAGCCGTAATCTCCAGGACGACACAAGCCCACCTGGAAGACAGGGCAAAGAAGAAAAAAAATTTCAGTATCATCTGGCCACAATCTCTTTATAGGCGATTATATGCTTCTGTATGGCCTTATTACTTTATGTGTGTTTTTAGATTCACTGTATTAATTACAATTTCAGATTGAGTTTTTAAGCTCATAGCCTTGAATTTTGTTTAGCTTTGTGATGAACAGCATTTTTTTCCCCTGTTTATTATGAATAATTGTTGACCTGGCTTTAGCCTGCAAATCCCTAAAGTCACCTTCCAAAATTAATTATTTTAAGTCATGTGACTGGTTACTACATCTTAAAAGGTCAGACTTAAAAGTCAGACTTGCAGACCCTGCCCCCTCTGTTGGAGATTGGTGGAGGTTCATATTGGCGTAAAAACCACCATCTGCATATTTTAGAGACCAAAGGTTATCTATTTACAGCATGATAGCACACATCTGTTAACATTGATTCTACTAGCCTTCCGTTTTCACAAGTAATAATTTACTAGTGAACAGCATTTACATTTTTTACATGTTTACCCAGCGCATCAGAAATATTACGCTGCTGTTTCCTCTCTCACCTGAGCGTTCATGTTGGCACCATCCAGGTACACCTGGCCCCCATTCTCATGAATAAGATCACATACATCTCTAATCTGCTCCTCGAACACACCAAAGGTGGAGGGGTAGGTGATCATCATGGCCGCCAAGCTCGCCTTGTGTTTATCCACCTGTGAGAGGCGGCAGGAGTTTGAAGAGAAAAAAATATTCATTAAAAATACAATATGGAGGGGCACCCTAGGAAAACCACCACCAACTGGGTTCACATAAAGCAGGAGACCTTTGTTAAAAGACATTCCCGTTCTCTTCTCCCTGATTTCCTGTCATGTCTCTGCTGTCAACTCTAAAAAGAAGGCATTAAACGAATCCTTAAAACATAATGGAAGTCTCATGATTCACAGTCAGTCCTGTTATGTCAGAGAAAATCTGACCTCCAACCTCTGTATTGTGATATGATAAATATAAAAGAACATTAATATCTGTTGATTCTTGACTGTTGATTAATAATTTGTACTTGAATTCAAAGCTGCCATGTATGTGTTCATTAAATTTCATCACATTAAAACCAAACTGTAGTAGAGAATTAAGGACTGTCAAACCATCTTTGGTTTGTCAATTAATGACTCAGAAACTCTCCAGTTACCTACCACGGACGATTTCTGTGCATGATTGATCACTTTCTACATAAATCATTCAATTGAGAGTTCCTAAGTGGTGGATTAGATATGAAAATTAAAACTGTACACAAAGTAGCCAATAAAAGGCTTGTTAAAGTTTATAGCGGTTAGCTACAGTCTGTGAGCACTCCGACACTAAAGACTGAATAAATATGGATTACGGTCAAAGAGGCTGATATTATCCTGAATTTTAGGGTCAAGCTCCAGACACAGCAGATCCTTCATATCACATAATGCAATTCAATAGCATAACGCAGACTCTCTCAAGATTTCAAGCCCAGCCTGATATGATCCTGGTGACATATCATACATTACACAGCGGTTTCCACAGTATTCTGTCTGACAAGTAAAGTGATCCTCATGTGTAAAACCAGTAGGGAAACAACAGTTCAATTCTCACCAGGGACTTGAGGTGTGCCATGTCAATGTTGCCATCCTTGTCCACCTCCACCACCTGAACCTTCATGCCAGCCATCTGAGCACTGGCTGGGTTGGTGCCATGGGCTGATTTGGGGATCAGACAGACCTGGAGCAAAAAGGAAAAATGTCAGTGTGGCAGGACAGAGGGTGAGCTCCAAATACCTGGATAAGCAAATAGATAAGACAGAGCATTGTGATGTATTTTTAGCGTGGGTTGTAAATTATGCTTTAATTCAGTGTGTGTAAAAACCTTATATTCCAGTATACTGTCAGGCTATGACTGCAGGATAACCTCTCACTGACCAGGAACAAAAGAGCAGAACATCCTCAGATTAAGTCAGGATGTTGATATATTAAACCCACAGGATTTGTGGGGACTAAGTCCAGAAAATCAAGCTTTCAACAATAAAAAGGTGAATTATTATTATTATTATTATTATTGTTATAATTAACTACCTTGAGTGAGTTTAAATCTAACGATGCTGATTTGTACAGAAAGAAGATCCAAAGAAAGCCATAGGCAGACATTTTAAAGTCAAAATATATTAAGTTCAAAATCAAAAACAGGTAACAGGTGGTGGCTTAGCCTCTCTATTGTTAATAAATACCAAGTATACTGCAGAATTAATAATAATAAATACTGTCTTTATATAAAAAGAGCAAGGCTTTTAAGGGCTCAGTCTGTGTGTGGAAATACTGTAACTTTTTGGTTGAATTTTGAGTCAACTCCCTCCAATGACACTAATGTGTAACCTGCCTTCAGGTCACTAATTGATTTTATCCCTTATTAGGATGACACTTCTGACATTTTGCAACAGTTACACAAGGAAACTGGGGCACTTAGACCGGTGGGTTGGGTAACTTTGACAAATGACTGGCTGGGAAACACTGCTGAGGCCACCACACCAGAGACTTGCAGTTATCAAAGTCTTGAAACCTCCAAATATGGAATCTTGAAAGCAGGTAACCTACAGTGCGATCAGTGTTTTCAGCCCCTTTGTTTGCACAAAAGGTTGTTAGTTTGGACCTTGACTGTTTCAAGGGATCAGGCCACTATCTAAGATGTACTTATGAGGGAGCTATTAAAAAAGGCCAAATAACAGTACAAGACAAAAATACCTGCGTCAGCCAGTCTTTAATCTGAGGGGGCGTCTTATCTCGCCTTGTCCTTGAGCTACTACCAATCAGCATGTCAGGATACTGGAGGAATTTCTAACCAGCATACCTGAAATCTGTTGTAGCCCTGAACAATAAACGTAACTGACTGACTGATCCTTACATATCAGCCCCGTAATCTGTGGCCAAATTGATAGAACATATGTCTAAGAATAGCACAGAGATTATTGCTTTATTACTTTTAGAGGACCTCACATCCTTTTGAAAAACGGGAGGGTTTTAATGTTTCACTTTTAATTGGGTTTGTGCAACATTTTGGGACATACTCTTATTTGCTTCATTTGCTTTCTTTCTGAGATTTGGATCACAGGACTGATACCACTCCGCTGGTTGTGGCATCCTATTTAATGCACAGACATGAAAGCCATGTTTGTCTTCTCATCAATTCTCAGCTAGAATGCAAATAAGCGCATTTCCCAAAATGTCTAACTATTCCCTTAATTATATTTTGCTCCAAATTTGTTAAGTGAACATGGTTTTAATCCTAACATTCCTTTGTGTTACTCGCTTGCAGTGCAGATAATCTGGAAAATGAAACCTATTCAATCAAACACATGCTGGGTAACAGAGTCACATAAAAGCCTGAAGTGTTATTAAATCTTATTAACTTCAACATAACACTAATTCAAACTGATGATGGCATGACTGTAGCGCAAGTGGACTTTTTTTCTCTCTCTCAACAGCAGCACACTTACACTTCTGGAGCTCTCTCCCTTTGAGTTCAGGTATGCTTTTATGGCAGCCAGGCCAGCATATTCTCCCTGAGCACCACTGGAAGACAAGGCAAACACACCACGGTCATGTATCTCACACACAAACATGCACGCAAACATCCTTACCTCAGCACAGTTCAAAGACCAGTCTGCAGACATTACCAAAAGGGGAAAGAATGGAGCATGGTGTGCTATTCATAAACCCAATGCTGCTGGTACGTGGTGATAGACACACAATGTAGGTGTGTGCCTTGTTGGCTTTTCCACACCCAATCAGAGTTGTGTTAACACCTCGAGCTAAGCACATATGCATAATTAACAATAACAGGTTGCTAAAATCTTGAGCAAAGGGTCCAGCATTACTAAAATCACATACTACAGGTTATAAGGTCAGAACAGTTGACTAATGAAGTCACTTTCAAAAAAATTTTAATTTTATTAAAATTATTTAGGAAGGGCACAATGCCTTACAATAATGTCTTTTAAGACTAAGAGTCTGCAGTCATGCTAGCAGTTCTGTGAGGTACAATAGTGCTTTCAGCAAAATGCTAATGTTAACATTCTCACAATGGCAATGCTAATATGCTGAGCAGGTATAATGTTTACCATGTTCTTACTTTAGCAAATTAGCATGCTAACAGTTGCAGCTGAGGCCAAAGGAAATGCCATTAATTTTGCAGGTATTTCATCATACATCAAAGTATTGGACAAATTAAACTTTTCACCTGATGGGGCCACTACATGGAGAGTGAAAGAATCACCAAAGTTGTTACAAACCATTCTGCAGTATAACATATAGCAATTCAAATGGGTTGCAATTCATTAATCGTTGTGGGTTAATGCTTAGATTTTTTTAGGGGCCAAAGTGGTGGACAAACCAAATCTGCCATACCTGGAGCCATAACACTAGCATGACTGAAATTAACATCCATCATTATTAATATTTTTGTATAAGAATTGTTTAGAGCTAAAAGTCAGGGACTAGGATCCTGGTGAGTTCATGAAGACTTAATGATGTGTGCTAACATTTAGGTGTTGGCATGAATAGCATTAAATAAAAGTCTGTGCTGCAACATACCTGTTTGGCTGGAAGGAGATCTTGTCATAGCCTGTCACCTCACAGAGGTCCCTCTCCAGCTGTCTGAAAAGTATCTGGTAGCCCTCAGCCTGATCCAGAGGCACGAAGGGGTGGATGTTGGCAAACTCCCTCCAGGTGATGGGCTAAAGAAGAAGAGGACAACAGTGAGCTGGAAGGAGTAGCAAGAACTTTCCAAAGCTACTTCATGTAGGTTCTGAGGATATCCAATTTGTTCTGAAGATGTCTTCAGATCTATCGAATTACTCACCATGAGTTCTGAAGAACTATTTAGCTTCATGGTGCAGGAGCCCTGAAGAAGAAAACAACATTTTACCACCACCCAAGTCTCAAATATGGTGTGATATGAATTTCAACTTCATTGCAAATCTGAATGTCTTGTTATTAGGTAGCACTAACCAGTGGTATCATGCTGTGCACCAAGGAGATGTCCTTGTTCTCCAGGCGCTTCATGTATCGCACAATGTTGGTCTCAGAGTGATAACTGGCGACAAAGATTAACCAGAAAGACAGGAGTAGGTTTAACTGACGGCATATTATTCAATTATCAATCTTGAGTGTCAGTTAATTTCAAGCAAAATTGACACCTGTATGCTGCTTACTAAGTGCAGGAAGTTTGACAAAGAATTGTTTTTCAAGTACAGTACTGTGCAATAGTCAGAGTCATAAAGAACTATCTTCAGTGACAAGAAAAGCAAGGATTCCTGCAGCAGTGGGTCTGGCTCCCACAGAGCCCTGATCTCAGCATCATCGAGTCGGTCTGGGAGGACACTGAAGACACTGAGACATCATAAATACACAGAGGAACTGAGGAAAGTTCTCCAAGATGCCTGGAAAAACCCACCCACCAGGTACCTCGAAATACTGAACAGAAGTGTAGGTGTAGGGTGGGTTCGTTTTTTCTTGATTACTGCCCTTTCTATGAATTATGGCATTATTTTTGAAAGCATCCTCACTTTACATTAAGCGCCTAAACCTTTTGCACAGTACTGTAAATCACAATGATTATGTCAGAGAATAACGTGAGGACTTAAGACATTTGAAGCCCTGACACCAGACTGTCATTATGGCAGTAATAAAGATATGATCCACTTTTAGCTGCCCGCAGAGAGGCTTGTGTTGCCACTAAGGCTCTTATTTTTCAACTACTGAAAACCCATTTCTACTACAGAAAGAATTTGTTTGAATGAAATGAAATGTTGAATGAAAAAACCCCACTAAATTCTTAGTCTATCAGGAACAGCACAGCCTTTATCTTGTGTAATAAATTAAACCAGATCTTGAACGGCTGCAATAGGACAAATAATAATAATAGAAAAGATAATTAAGTACTTAAAATGCTTTGAAGCAAATCAACCCGTTTGTTACACCACAAACAGAAACAGATTAAAACACCAGTAGTAAGCAGACAGCAGCCTCATATCAAACAACTAGCACTGAAAAGACTGACAAAAAAACCCCATTTGCGTCAGTTATGTAATGTAGTGATTATGGAAGTCATAAAACAGCTTTAAAATCAGCGGCATGTTTGGCAAGTGCAACTGTGGTCAATAAAATCAGTTTTCTGATATTTGTAGCCCAACATGTCATAAAGGCATAAACACAGTATCACGTTTGTGCAATGTGTTATCATTGCTTTAATGCTACACTATGGGCTATAGGTGTTGTAAATTCACTGGGAAAACCAACCTGTTAAAGACCTGGTGTAAGAGGTACTTGCTTGTCCTTTTGAAAGGACTTCCCATGATCCCCTTCACCCGCTCACCCATCTTCTCAGCGATCAGCTCCTGGAAATTTTAGCATTTCAAATTAAAGCAGGTGGTGCTTTAATCTAAAGCTACCTCTATAAATAATAATAATCACTATGCTGACCAGATGAAACTGCTAACTTAATGACAACAGATAAAATATCAATCAACAGTGAGTGAATAACAATCAACATACAGCTGATGATTCACAGCCAAAGACCCAGAGCAAGTCGTCCAAGTCCCTCTCAGTCACCGTCTCATCTATAGAGACACCCAGCTGTTGAGATAAAAAACATTTTAAATCTTCATATCTTTTCCACAACACTAGACAATAACACAATCAAAAAAAACATGAAAAAAATACAATAAAAAAGGTTAAAAAAAAAAAAAAATAAAAATAAAAAAAAAATCAGAAACTGAAATTTCTTTGCACAGTGACAGGTACCGTCAGATTTGTTGTGATTTATCCCTTACATGTATTTTAGTGGAGTTGTTATAAAGAATTGACAGAAATTAAGTGCATGTAAGTTTCCTTTGCTCTTGTTTTTTGTGCAGCGTGTTCACTTCTGCTACTTGAACACATTTCTCCATATTTAATGATAGGACTGTAGGTGGCTGTGGCTCAGGAGGTAGAGTGGGCCGTCCACAAACCGGAAGGTGGGTGGTTTGATGCCCGGCTCCTCCAGTCCACATGTCGAAGCATCCTTAGGCAACATGCCAAACTCCAAATTGCCCTCAATGTATCATCAGTGTGTGTGATAGAAAAAGCCCAGAAAAAGCCCAGTATGCGCTAAAAACAAGTGCTGTATCAAAGTGTAATCCATTTATCATTTATTTAGGATTAAAGATTAGATCCAATTAACAGAAATGCTAGATAGTTCTGAAAATAACTTTTAAAAAACTAGTTAACATTACAGGTGGTTTACCACAACATTCTGTATCCTCTGAATTAAAGCATTACCTCCCATTTTGGCATGAAAATTAGAGTAAAAGGTGAGTAGCAGGTGCCCAAAGCCAATGTGAATGTGTCACCACAGATGGTTGAGAAATAAATTCCTTTTTACCTGCTAAGTAATTAAAAGGTTCTCATGACTTGGTGTGTATCAGTAAAGGGAGAGACGTTTCTAACTCGTTAATTTAAAAAAAAGGCATGGTGCGTATCTATTTGTGTCGTTACCTTGTCATGCTGCAACAATGGCAAAACATTGCTTGGAAATTCCAACAAAAACAAATGTTCCACCCAAACGTCTGCGATCCTGTTATCAGTTAGAAGGTTGCTAAACCACCAAGACCAATAATTAATTCTCACCACTCCCTCAGTGTAGACTCGCAGATTTATCTGCCTCTGCACGGCTCTCTCCAAGATGTCCTTGGCCGCCACGCTACAGTTGATCTTCAAAGTGTCGAAGAACATCTCGCAGTGCAGCCGGTGTCCTGCTCTCTTCAGACCTGAAACAAAGCGTTGGCGGTCAGCAGTTACAGACGACACATTGTTACGATGGATAAATAACTGAATAAACAGGTTAATCTATTCATGGAGGGTGGAACTGGATTTTTTCACTGTGAATTAATGATGATTGTTCAAGCATATATTCAATCATTCATCCACAATGTGTCAGATGTAGACAGAACTTGAAATGATGACATAACTCACCACAAACTGACGGTTTACAACAGGGAGAGCACCATTATATCAATTATTTTTCTCTTTCATCACTTGTAGTATCATAGATTGATGAGATGTACACTTCTAACGCAAACTGGACTAAATGACTACACAAACTGGATTAAATGACTACTTCCAGAAAATGATCCTGCTTCTGAATCAATTCAGGCTGGATTTCAAGTAAAAAAAGAAAACAAAAAAAACAATGTCTACCTTCAGCAAGGATCAGAGCAGCATTGTGTGTCCTCTCAGCGATGTGTTTGAGTCCCTGCGGACCATGATACAATGCATACATAGCAGCCATGTTGGCCAGCAAAGCCTAAGAGGATGAACAACAGATGAAAATTAGTTTGACCAAAAAATACAGAAAGAAAGTAAGAAATCTGTAAGAAAAAAAAGAAAAAAAAAGAAACACATTCTCCCATAATGGTTGTTCAAAATCTTTTCATGCAAGCCTGGTCATACCTGAGCAGTACAGATGTTGCTGGTTGCTTTGTCTCTGCGGATGTGCTGCTCTCTGGTCTGCAAAGCAAGCCTATACACTTCCTTACCAGCTGCGTCCCTGAAATGTAAATGTATGTTTTTTTCTATCTGTCCGCAAAGGAAGATTTTGAGTTTCCTCCACTGGTATTAATATGAAGCCCTGTCACAGGAAATAAAGTGTTACGTCTTACCTGGTGACACCAACCATCCTGCCAGGCATCATCCGGACCAGGCTGTCTTTAACAGCGAAGAAGGCAGCATGTGGACCGCCGTAGCAGAGAGGGACCCCAAACCTCTGGGAGCTGCCCAGTGCGACATCAACACCAAACTCCCCGGGAGGACGCAGCACGCAGAGAGCCAGCAGATCCGAGGCACAGCAAGCCAGGGCCTAAACAGGGAAAGAAATATGAAGTGAACCATAGTATTGTATGTGGTCATAAAAAAGACTTACACTGGCAATGACAGTTTTGTACAACCATAATCAATGATGAAAAAAATTTACTAAAACTAACTGTAGCCTGACAAATCTTGATACTAGATTATAACACATCCCAGTCTTCTGACTAAAGCTTCACAAAGCCAATTCTTCTATGTAAGTATACAGCTGTGTCATCATTGTAAAACTTTAGGAGGAGCTGTGGTGAAAAGAGTCATCCAATTGCTTTCTTGAGACACCTTGACAATGAAATTTGGATATTGGACATGGATGCTTCACATTACATCGTTTTTGGGCATTAAGGATGAAATAATTCAAACAGTTAACTTCTGAACTTTTGGTTGCTATTTTCAACCACCAATTTGTAAGGTTACTTAAAAAAGTCACACTCATGATGCTTTTTACTTGCTTTATGTTTGTGGGAACTTTCTCTTACCCCTCCTTTGTGTGCACGGTCCACAAGGGCGGTGAAGTCTTCCACCCTGCCATCAGTGTCTGGATACTGGAAGAGCACGCCACTCACATCCTTCCCACTGAAGTCCATCTCATGAGGCAGCTTCAGCACCGTTTTTACCCCAATGTAGCTGCAGGAAAGAAGTCAAAGCTTGAAGGTACTTCATACAATAAACTGTGTTACATTTTTGAGTTTTGACAGGAGAGCTTATACACTTATTGTGCATGTGAAGTACGTACTTGGCCCTGGTCTGCACCACAGCAATGGTCTGAGGATGGCAACGTGGGTCAATGTAGAAAGTTCGTCTTTTGTTCTGTCTGTGAGAGTTAAGCACAAATAACTGGTCAGAGAGACTAAAATGCTATAACTCAAGACCTGTTAGGCAATAAACAAATGATATCTTGAATTGAACCAAGTCTATTCTTGTTTAGTTTTCTTCTAGTAGCACAGAAACAGTCTGCATTAAGGCCTAAACATTAAGTCACTTGTATGAATGACCACTTAGAAATTGAAGTTTCTTCTGCTGCTTCATCTAATGCAAGTTTACTTTGCTTGCTTAGTTTCTTTTGTGGCTAATGTGTAACAGTAATCATCTTTAATTCATGCAGAGATTGTTCTCCACGTCACTGTTTGTGTTTGTGATCTTGTAAATACCTGTGGCACAGTTGCATGGCCTCAGCAGCAGCCGTTCCCTCGTCGAGCAGGGAGGCGTTGGCCACAGGCATTCCTGTGATGTCACAGATCATGGTCTGGTAGTTGAGGAGCGACTCCAGGCGACCCTGAGAGACCTCGGGCTGGTAAGGAGTGTACTGAGTCACCCTGAGAACAAGATGCACGCTATGAATCAGCAGAGCAAGTCTGGACATGAGGACAATGGCACAAAGTTGGTAGTATTCAAAGAGCAGAGACAGGACAGTGGGATGCATTGTAAGTCTCCCCCGATCCTGGGATTTTGGAAAAAATGTGGGCAAGGACTGTTGGTTTGGTTTTGGGCCAAAGAAAATCTTTGCATGTGAGAAGCAAATCATCAGATCTCACATGAGTAAAATCTCAAGTCACACAGCTTCCTATTAAAGTCACGTTACTGTGCACCACAGCAATTTACCTTTAAATGAGAAACCAAACCTTATGAATAAACATCATTAGTTATCTGTGACCGAATCAGAGGAAAAAAAAGAAAAACAAGCTTTTGGCACTTTCAAACCCCCGTAAATTTTCTCCTGAGGGAAGGTCACCTGAGGTGACACACTCACCAGCCTGCATTCTCCAGGAGATTGCGTTGGATGGGCGGCGGTACTGAGCAGTTGTAGTAGCCCATGCCGATGTAGGACCTCCACACTTTGTTCTTTGATGCAATCTTCTGTAAAGACTCCAGAATCTCATTCTCACCTGTGAAATAATTAAAGCGAGGCAGTGTAACTACATTACAATGGTACAGATAAAAGCTAAAGTGTAAGAGTCCTGAAGTCTTGAAATGAATTATTTCTTCTTTTAAAAGTTGCGTTAATTTGTGATTACAATTTAGTTTTCTGGGTCTGACACTGAATGGCAGCAGGGTTGGAAAATATGACAATATATACTATGAAATAATAAAACTCATCTACATGTCTGCTTTTATGTGACCATTCTGGGTAATACAGCAAATCAATTAATGGGGATGATTTATGAGAATATTTAAGTTACATGGTTTTTGTATCAGTGTGATGAAGTACCTTAATATTTCAGTATTTAATTCACTAGATTAACCAAAAAGACACAATCCCATCTGTTTCTCAATTGAATTGCAATACATATCACACATACTGCGATACATTTTATCGACAATGCCGAACTCTACAACATGGTTATAGGATGAACATAAAACCATTTCACATTTTAACTTTACATTTCTGTCCAACACCAAACTAAGAGAAAAACGAATAATGTCAAAGATGTGATGAACAGCATCATGTGTCTCATGTGAAACACTGATTAACAGGATGAAGAAGATCAGTGTGGCATGACGTTAGTTAAAGGTGCCATGTGGTCCAAATACAGTTAGAGCTGCAATGATGATGAATGTTAATTCATCAAGTGTAAGAAAATTAATTGGCATCTATTTTGGGGTTCGGACTGTTGCTTACAAATTAAAAAACAGACTTTAATGACACAGTCATGTGCTCAATGATAATGTCACAGGCATTTTATTTTACCGTTTTCTATCAATTCAAGGAGAAAATCAACCGCAGATTAATGGGTTATGAAAATAATTATTAGTTGCAGCCCTAAATACAGTATTGCCCTCCAAATAAGACTCAGAATATACTGTTAACAATATTAATCAGTAGAGAAAACAAAACTAAAGATGAGAGGACAATGCAAGTGTAACACATGTCCATGTCACATGCAAACCCCTCTTCCCATCAAAAGAAAGACTAGACCCATATGGTTTCTCTCCCGATGGCCAGTTATTTAGCCTCATTCCCCACTGCTGTAAGGGAGCTCTGCCAGTGCAGAACCAGCCTCTGAGATTCCTCTGGCCTTCCTGGCTGCCTAGCAACTCCAAGGAATGGACAATACTGCCCGTCTGAACCGGGAGCCCTGACTACTCCCGTTTTCGGAGAAGAAAGACACCTCTAGTCCTCAGTGGTGAGAGAGACCGTAGCCAGTATACAAGTGGATATTTACAGCGTCTTCGAAAGGCGAACATTCAACTCTGCAAAAGTGTTTGGAGCTGGTGAAGCGGCCAAATTCAGTCCAGAAAATAAAAATTCTGTGATTAAGGATTATTAGCAGGTTGTGGGTGAGCTGTTAGTGTGTATTTTTTGTGTGTATATGTGTGAGTTTGTGTCAGTAAGGAGGAGTGCTTTCCCATGGTCCCGGAGTTCTACAGGGCAGCAAAAAAGCCTGATTCAGAACCATCCAGGAGGTCTATTGTTGGAGAGAGAATCCCTCGCTGGCTTTGAAAACTGAAGCCCTCCAAAGCTGAACAAGCAGAAAACCAGCACAGCCTCCAGTTTGTTCCTTCAGCATGGCTTGTTGCATTATGAAACCCGGCAGAGTCAGAGGAGGGGCTGACACAGGGCGGATCAGAGTGACTAGGTGATATGGAAAAGCCACAGTACCTGAGGATTAGCAGCTTCTTTATCTTTCCTTTAATTAGTCTTATTAATCTCATGAGAGTTTATGGTTACAGAGTCATTAAAGGCTCTGCGAAAGAGTGATGTCAGCATTTATTAAGGGTGCACAATCTCTCCACACACCTCACATTAAGTAGAATATGTGAAAAAGTCCACGCTTGGGTTGGGTGTTAAGTACATCGACTTTCAGTATTGTGACATCATTGTTTTTAGAGCTGAAACATCCATTAATCCCCCAATCATCATAAAATGAATCGGCAACCATTTGATGACTGATTTTATCTGTTAAGTCATTCTTCCTGGCAAAAAAAAAAGCCAGCTCCTCACTTGTGAAATATGCTGTTTATCTTTGTTTTATGTGATAGTAAATTGTTTACTTTGAGGTATGGTCAAACAAAACAATACATGTGTAATCACCACTTTGGGATTTAGAGGATTGTGACAGGCATTTTTCATTGCTTTTGTGATGTTAACTGATGATGAAAATAATGATAACCCCTTACTATACTCTGTTACTTTTTTACAAAATTCAGCTGATTTCAAGCTGTGGTTAAAAATGAATAAACTTAGTTATTGAAGGCTTTGTTTGACACATTTGAAGAGTTTTTTCTCATGTAATCCAAAAACAATGGAACAGATTTCACTGCAAGCACCAACTGGATTGCTTTGACTGTGATATTATTATCATTATTATTATCTGTGATTATCATTACTACTACTACTACTATATCATGGCATTCATTAATAGCAGATACCATCTTGTCATTAAGATGTTGATCTCATCCATGCTTCCAAGCCCTGCTGCATTCTTTTTCATTTTGCACATCTGCACAGCAAAACAGTGATAATGACAGCCCCACTTCAACAAATTAACATAAGCCTCCATTCAGGCAAAAATATATTTGCATTTGAAAACACTATTTATGTAGCCAGGCATCATTTATTCAGCTTTCAACAGTGCTTACAATTGCCAGAGAAGCAGCTGGTTTTAGAGAAGGATTACATCAACTACTAAAGTCATTTATTTTAAATTATTTCCTTGCTCTCTTCTTTGTGTGCCTCTGATAACACCACCCCGTTATACTGTCTCTAGCTTGTATTTTCTGTAGGAAATAAAGACTGAATCTGGTGCTGAAATATACACATATTGCATATGAAGAAAGGGAAAAAAAAAAAAATCACATCCACGCAGATCCCATGCAAAACATACGAAAGTCACCTTATTAGGAACCCCCTCGGCTGTGATGTAATGTGAACGCTGTAACCAGATTGAACTGGACTTGGGACCGGAGCTCAAGGCTAAACTTTACACTCCAGTTGCCATCCTATGAGCATCGGCTTCCCAACAGGAGATTGGTGCCGCTCGCCGAGTTTCGCAAAAACAACTCCAAATATGTTCAAAGGAAGACTTAACAGGGGAGTGCGCTCCACGGCACACAATAGAGGTGCAACCTACATTTCAGCCACTCACTTAGCTTCATTTAACGCCCGTTCAATGTGGGAAAACCTCACCGTGCAAAATAGCTGGAGAACAGTAAAGATAAATAGCCTGTTTTTACACACATTTTTGATAATATTTACCATTGTAAATCGGGTTTGGCACTACTGCATCGAGGTTGATCATGCAGTATTTTAAAAAGAGGGATGTGTGTAACAAAGATGTATTGCTATTGATCTTGTATCAATAGCAAATATATTCAAATGAAGACAAACTTACAGACTGGATCATCCATTTTCATACTCCACTGCATACGGATGGAGGCTGGAACTGTGTTTTCGATCAACTGGTCGATCGACTGTGAAAAAAAATAAATAAATTAAATAAATGAACGCATGGTTTTGAATGACTAATAATATAGATATACTGTTCAAAGCAAATGTTTCCATGCTGAAATTTGGTTTAATAAAAACGAAAGGATTTCTTTGTGCCCAGTTTCTTTGGGAAGGATGTGTAGTAAATCTTACCTCGACTCCCAGAGCATCCAGCATTTCTCTCTTCTCCCTCTCACCTGGACCAATATGCCGCTCTGCAAAATCATCGTGTTTGGGTAATATTCTCTCTATCTGTCTGGAAGAGACGGCTGCAGACGTCCTCAGAGCCCGGGCTGCTGTTGTTAGGGATGCCCCGCTGTTTCGGATCCTGCACTGAAGTTTCCAAACCACGCGGCTCTTGTCACTCAGATGCCTGCACGGTGCGCTGGGATTCACCGACTTGGCCAAGAAGATCCCCCAGGACTTGGCGCAGCTCTGCATCTCTAAATCACTTTGCAAGACAAGTGTGCAGAAACTGGTGAAGCCTTTTCCTTCCCTTGCTCAGCAGAGTTTCCCTCCACTGAGACTGATGCGATCCCTGCAGGAGACTCTGCCAACTCCTTCAAACTGCAGAGTTTATACAACTGCACAGTTGCACAAGAGCGGACCAATCAGAGCCGAGATGCTGCGTGACGCAGTGACGAGCCCCGGTCAAACAGCTGCTAAACTTTCTCACGTGCCCACCGTCCACTGGCCAAGAGGAGGAAAAAACACAAGAGGTATCACTCCAGAAATATTTCAGGAGCAAGGCTCGATTCCAAAGTCCTTTCCTGAGCACGGAGTCCTCACAGACTTTAATCGGCCTTAAGGTGTGTTCACTGATAACGTGTGAGTGCGTGGAGGTGAAATGCTGTCTGAGACATGGGACTGTACATTGTGACACCCTGACCTCTTAGGCATTTACTCAATGGCCAATAAAGTGGCATATTGATTAAATACAGATGTGGTGCTTGTTCATTCCTCTTTTACAAAGAAATCAGATGAAAACATGGAAGATTATTATGATCATAGACCCCTGGACACAGACATGTAAAAGGCCGCCTACGTCCTGCATAGGAGCAAGACCCCCCAGACAAAAAGAGGCACAAAACGACTACAAATGACACAGCCGTGTGTGTCCTGTCACACAAGCTCTGGCAAAGAGGCCCCTGTGCCCTTGGGCACCCGAGCCCATGCCCAGTAAGACCATTCAGTAATCCATTCATGGATGAAAACATAAACTACAGAGTACTTGCAGGTGAGTCATGCAAAACCATTTTTACCTGTTCTTTCCATCCTTTATCTCGATTTGAAGAAGGCAATGCTATAAATTATGGTTTATTGCTAAATGGATCAAAAAGTCATTTTTTAAAGTCCTCTAACTACTGCTTTCGAGGGGCACCACCCCCATATAGACTTATCAGTTACAGAGAGAGGAAAAATTAAAAAACTAGAAAAACACCTATGCCACCAGTTCCACAGAAAAAGTACATTGTGAATTAAGAAAATATAAACTGGAACTGAACAATTTGATTAACAAAAAAACCAGAAGAGAGGCGAGGAGATTTTCTCATAACTATTAACTTCTATACTAACTATAAAACAGATAACTGTAAAACATGACCATCACAATTTCTTAGAGCCCAGCTGTTTTGTCTGACCAGCAGTTCAAACCCCAAAGATACCCCAACTTATTAAATTGTTGAAATTTAAATGATCATTTATCAAAAAATTCAGTCAAATAACTATAGTAGTTCTATTATCTTAAACTATTTTAAATGTGCGTATCATATTTTATAACCTCATTTCATGTCTTAAATGGAAGCAGTCAAATAAAAGTTGTGCAGTAAAAAATACAGTCTTTCCCTCTGTAGTGCAGTAGAAGGATAAAGTCAAATTAAATACTCTTGTGTCAGGATTTAACCAAATCCTAAAATGTGAAAAGCATAGACTGTAGTAAAAATTAAGGTGTGACAGCTTGTTAAAAGTTTCAACTTGTACTGCATATGTGGTGCTGAATCCTCCATACCAAGACAGTATTACAAAACAACTCCGATTAAAAAGAAGAAATCATCAAATTTCCATAATCAGATCCAGAGAAAATATTACTAAATCAGCAAGTTCATTCCAATAAACCACCAACTGGAATAACAGTGAAAACAGATGTCTTGAGTTTCTATCTGTTTGATTAAGGAACATAATAAAAAGACACAGTGAGGTTTGGTTTGGTTGCTACAGCTGCTGAAATATGGATTGACAAGAAGCTTTCTAGTACTGACAACGTTAAACAAAAGGAATAACCATTATCAGTAGTGTGTGATAATGGTAAACAAAAGGATTTCTTTAATGCAAGCCACAAGCGGAACGACAAACACAGTCGTCCAGGTAAATCAAGTATTTCAGCTCTTTAATAGGACAATCAGCAGCAAACGTCTCCTAACAGTGTCTTTGTTGTTCAGGTTGTGATATTCAACCTGAAATTCAGATATGGGTTTGATCAACTGGGTGGTGGAACAACATCAGTTTTTAATGCACCAATGTTTTTCACTTCCATTTGCATTTTTGTTTTATTTTCTCACTAAACGTGGATATCTGTCCTTGACATGCAGGTAAGTTATTACAGATTGATTGATTTTATTATAGTCTAAACTGCATTTCAAAAGCAATGTGTCAAGTAATTCATTAGTATATTACAGGGCATTGTTACTCTGGGTGTCTTAATACTGTAATTGGTCACATATTTCACTGAAACTTTTATTTGAAGGTTTTTTGCATTTATTCATAGACATTTATTTTTATTTCATTTTTATTTGTTAGTATTTTATTTATTTGAAGTATTTCTTGTTTTTAAATTGTGTTCTTCAAATAGACATGACAAATCTTGATCAGTCAGGAGTGCACTAATTTACATTATCGATGAATTTGCAGACCATTTTCCAGATTAATCGTTTGGTCTATTAAATGTCAGAAAATAGTGAAAAACACCCATCACAGTCTTTATAATTAAAAATCGAAATATGATTATGGAAGATAAACAATATTATTTTCCACACTGGAGAAGCTGCAATCAGAGAAGTTTTTGTTGAAAAACTGGCTTAAACGTTTAATTTTCTGTCTATAAACTAAACAATTAATTGATCTATCATCGCAGTTGTAGTTGTTAACGTCTGTCTACAGGTACCTGTTTGTTTCTGTTGGAGGATGTGTCCTGGCAGTTGTCACGATGGGCATCTACAGTCTGCTTCTGTTCGTTTCCACCTTTGTCTTTATTCTGCTCCTGGCCTTTGTGGATCCTGGCTATATCCACATCTGGGTGTTTGGTGTCCAGATGTTGTGGCAAACCTTCTGGCACCTGCTTATACAATACAAGGAATACTGGTTGCATGAGTCTGTCAGCATCAGGTACTAATCTTAAATCAATTGGTTTTTATGCTGACAACATCATGCTTTTGTCAGAGCATCCAGTATCAATTATGAATGAATAACTTAGCTGTGATTGATATAATCAAATTACCACCTCTTGTACTTTCAGAATGTTTTTGGCAGTGTCCTCATTGATGCTGCTCACTCAGAGAATGACCTCAGTGTCCATGGACCTCCAGGAGAAACAAGTTACCGTCACATTTAGTGCTTCATCCAAAAGGAAGGGCTGTGTGATGCTTCTCCCACTTACCAGCTACCTCCTCAGTTTCACCACACTGCTTGGAGGCCCTTTGTGCTCCTACAGCCAATTTGTGTTCCATATGCAGGGAATCAAGCCTCCACCCAGTCCACTGGGGGCGGTATTCCTAAAGTTGATACAGGTTTTATTGCTGGAGTTGGTGAGGTTTTGTCTGGTCTGTTTTATGAAACAAAACATCCCTGATCCCTCTCACTCTGCTGTTCTTTGTGGCATCCTGTGGGTTTGGGGTCTTGCACTGGTTTTGAGGATGCAATACTACTCTCACTGGAGGATCAGTGAATGCATCAATAATGCAGCTGGGTTTGGATTTTGTGAAAATTCCTCAGGAGACTGGAGCGGACTATCTGATGGAGATTTCTGGAGCACTGAGGCGTCAAGCCGCATGTCAGACTTTGCTCGTCGATGGAACACCACAACAGCTTCATGGCTGCGTAGACTGGTTTATATAAGGTGCAAACATTTTCCCTTGTTCATGACTTTTGGGTTTTCACTGTGGTGGCATGGTTTGCACTTAGGTCATTTTGTAGGGTTTTTGACCTGGGCAGCAACAGTGAAAACAGACTACTATATACACAGGTATTTACACCCAAAGCTTACCTCAACATGGAGGAAGCTGCTATACACTTGTTTAGGCTGGATAAACACTCAAATGATTGTTACTTGTGTTGCTATAGCTGTAGAATTAAGAAATATGTCCGGCTTGAGACTTTTGTCTGTTACATACGCAGGTCTGTTTCCACTTTGTAATATACTTCTACTGGTCATATTAGTAAAGGTCGACACAGTTAGGAAAACTACTAAGGTAGTTATGTGAACAAACTCCCATACCTACATATTTGTGATAGAACAGCTCTACTACAATATGACAGACTTGTTCTATCATTCAAATATATGAATGTTTTGTTACTCTCAGAGTTTACTCCCTAGAACCTACACTGTGTAGGACACACCTGTAGCTCACCTGGTTAAGCAGGGAACATATAACATAGCTGAATCCCTCCCACAGTGGCCTGGGTTTGGTGGATGACTGTGTACACAAAAGATAGTGAAACTATGATCTTAAATTCATCCAGCAGACATTTGAACAGCTAAGTAATGAAATATATTACCTGGATCAGGTTTCATAGATACCTCCAAATAAGGAGCTTTCTATTGAAACACCCAAACTGGAACACCATCAGGAAAACAGATTCCCCCATTGAACAATATTCAGTTAGAATTCAAAACAATCAGGACTCAAAAAATACAATCACCAAATGATATATAGCATTATCTAATATGATACAACCAAACACTTTACGTTAAATGAAAATGGGAAAATGAACTCATAGATATTAGTGGGGAAATTCAATGGGAAATAGCTATTAGATTTTTTCAAACCTCACATATTGCATCCAGAATGAATCCCCAGGTAAACAGGCAAAATCTGGAGAAATTGTGGCGAGAGGATTGCAAAACATAGATGTGCATTCTGGACAAATTTTGGCAAGGAATATTTGAATTACACAAATTGCCCAAAGAAATAAGAGATAAGGAAAAGAAATACCTATTACATGTACTGCTGGCAAAGCAATAACACTGAACTGGTTAAACAAATAACTGCCATCCCATGAAAAGTGACAATCAGTACTAAATCAGTAGGAGAGGATTGGTTGTAAATTGGCTTAACTGAGAGACACACTAGTAGGTCAAGAGGTTATGGGCATCATAGTAATCATACAATCTCAATACTTTAAACTTATCCTTGGTGTGTGTGCGGGTTCTTTCCTCGCCCATATGTTCTGACAAAGAATGGATGTAATATGTGGAATGTTTATTGAAACTACTTCACACCCAATAAAGAATACGTTGCAAAAAAAAAAAAAAAACAATTAGGAAAAATGGCAAAGTCATATTCATGGCATAGCGATAGACAATTTTATTCAAATGATTCTATGTCTTGAGTAATTTTAGAATAGGATGTAACTGGAATTCATACATACTATGTTTCAGCCACTACTACTGCTAAATGAACTGGACTTCACAGATAAAATCAACAATATTTAAAATTTGGGGCTACAGGGTTGATCTCTGCTAGCATAAACTGAAGTTGACTTTTGTGATTTAAACCTGCATTAAGTGATATTTTTCATATTAACATTGAAATAAATGGCACTATGTCATGTGAGAGAGCAGCACACAGACAAACTTGGAAAAAGCAACAAACGCTGCAGGTCTGTGCAGCTTTTGGCCACATTCATCAAATTGTTTTGGTTCTGCAGCCTGCATTTACAGCAGATTGTGTGAGCGTGCGTGACTGCCTACCCTGCATGAAATGTAAACCAGTGACTCATGAAAAAAGTCAACCAAAGATCCAGATATTTTTCTCAACAGTTGTTGCACCAGTGACTTACAGTACATCCATCAGGTGAATCAAATGAAACATGCTGCTCCCTGGTGGTCAGAAAGCAGTTATTGCAGGTTTAAAGGAGCTATCTGCCAGTTTTGTTATTGCAGCTGTTTACTGAACAGTCTTGGCAAGATCTTCAGCCATTGTTGCATTTACAAGACAAGAGGTTATAATTTGCTCTCTGAGCAATGCGTCCTCCTGAAGGCAGCCTGAATGCTACAGTGACATGGTATTGGAAACTAAAGAGACAGTCTGGAGCTAGCTGGTTAGCATGATAACTTCAGTACAATAAAAATAGGTGGTAGAAATAAAAGCAAAAGAAGAGGGGTTGCTTCCACAGCTGGAGACAGCAAGTAGTGAAATCAAGGAATCAAGTTTAATTTAATCCTAATGTTGGTTATGTAGCAGTAGCAAAACTTACAAATAACTCCTTTAAAGTTTTTTTTTTTACCAACAATAACAATACATGCTTAAGTTTCACAAATGATTTAAGTTTTTTTGTTTGTTTTTGTGCACAACAACCAATGATGCACAGTTCTATCGATACTTAAAGAAAGGGCTTGAATTCAGAAGTTCACTATATATGTAAAATTTATTTATCATTTGATTTGACCTCAAAATACATGATTTTTTTAAGTCAACATCTGTAAATTATGTTTTATGAGCAAGAAATTTATCCAGATACTTTAATGTGTGGATTAAAATTATACCGCTTACAGTACATCTTTTTTTTTTTATCTCTTATGGAGCTTTGTTAAAACCCCAAAAGATAATGTGTGTAGTATGTGATGTACCATGAATGTAATAAAATATGCCGTGAACTGATTATCTCACTCATCTGATTGCATCCTCATTTTGCAGCAAAGTTTCTCTTCTCTCTTTCCACAAATTGCCAGCAACAATACCTAAAAATAACAGCAGTCCAAGGTTTCTGTTTGAGGCAAATTTCTTCCAGCAGTCTTCGGGTTTGTTGATGTCCAATGTGTAAATCTAAAGGAGAAGAGGGTAAATATGAGATGTTGGGATAATAACCAAGAAGACCTGTTACTGATTTGAAAAAAGAAAATTGCTTTAATTTCCACATTTACATCTCCTCTCCACTCGGTTTGTGACTGTCTCACTGTGAAATGTATTGTAACTACATTGCAGCATCATATTCCTTACCTGGTGCATTAAGTGAATGGCCACTGTGGACAGTACACCATAGTAAGGGAGAGTCTGTTCAGCACTGACCCCAGCTACAACCAGTCCTGACATCATGGCCACAGTGAAGCCACTCAGCCAAGGTTTGGTTTGCTCCTGGAACCTCAGTGCAGTAGATCTGACTCCTACTTTGATGTCGTCTTCCTTATCCTGGTTAACAACGAAAGAACAGAGGGTGCCCAGTCTCATTCAATATTGTCCTACTTTAAACATGTGAGATGTTGACCTTATGTTCCTCTCCAGAGTGACTGACTGTGAGTACAAGATAAGCAGTTAACTCCAATCTCTAGATCGCAATCATATGAAGTTAGAGGAACATTTTGCATCTTGAACTGGGGCAGGAAAGCAATCCACAGTTCAGCCAAAACTAAGATGACTCTTAAGTGGTGTCGGGCGATACACAGTAGGTAAAACATTATATTGCCATATTTTCAAATGTATAAGTGATGACGATGGTGATTGGCTTTATGTTTTGGCCATATAAATTCTGTGCCTATGCACAAGTATTACTGAGAAGTTAAGCAAATAAAAAATAGCCATTCTTGTGTTCATTGTCTGATCATAATTAAAAATATAAACTTGTTTCACTCCTAAAAAACTGAGAGCTTTTTTCCCACTGAATGAGGATTGGGCAATTGTTTGTAATTGTCCTTAATTGACAGCAGTTCATTCTAGGTTTAATGCTGGAGCTGCATGTTATCCATGACTGGATAACTTGGTGAATATAAAATAGAATGGAAAAACAACATTTCCATAAGGTCAGTCAAAAAAAGAGTGAACCTATGGTTTAAAAATTACCAAAATTAAAAAACAATTTCTTTACTAAATGCAAGCTCCTGACAATCTTCATGTCAAATAAGTGCACAAATATAATAATAACAAGCACAAATAAAAACTGTTGAGCCCCTCTACTTCACCTGATGTGCATATATAGTGTCGTATATCAACGTCCACATCACTCCTGAGAAATACAGCGGGAGGCACACGGACCAATCACAGGAGCCCTTCACAGCGGACCAGCCGAGCAGCGCTCCCCAGTTAAAGGTGAGGCCTAAACAGAAGGACCATATCCAACATGAGACTAAGATTAGCTCTGCTGACAGGAAGAAGTGAGGACTTTAGATGCAGAAAACCAAGGGATAGTACAGTGAAATACCTAGCACAAACTGTGGCCAATATGTGATCCTCTTCATTAGCGGGTAGGTGACGACAAGAGATAACGAAGCAGCACCCAGAGCTATACTGTGAAGACCATTATGAAAACTTTGAGTCGGACAGTGTCAAGCCATTAAATATAGAACAACTTAGCATCACATTAACACACACAAGTAATATACTGTATCTATAAATTGCAGCTGGTTAAAAGTTTGAGGCAACATTACCCACGACCATTGATTATAGGATAGCACATATAGCACCAAGGCAGTGTTTTTTTTCTGAGCTGCACACTTGGTTATTTGTTCCAGATCAATACACAGAACTGATGACACTGACTGTTTCTGCGTACCTGTAATAGTTGAGACACAAGAGAACCCCAAGTGCAAGAGAGAGCTGCCCTCCCAGGAAGACTAGTGCCTGCATTCGAGAAATCTCCCCCGAGGCAATGGGTCGAGTGGCTGTCCTGAACACCTGCACAAAAACATAATAATAATAATAATGATAATCATGATAATAATAACAATAATGATGTGAGTCTATAACAAAAAAAAGAATTTAAACAGTTACAACAAACATCATCAGTTAAGACAAAGGTCCAAGATAAGAGGATACTAAGTTTGCCTGTCTGATCCTCAGGTAGTGAACTCCTCAGCTCCACTGTATGAGAGTTACCACAGTTACACCATTTGCATTATAAAGTGAATGACAGCATATGAGTTTTGTATACCTTTTTGTCGAAGTCTCTATCCCACATGTCGTTGATGGTGCAGCCTGCTCCTCTCATTAGCAGAGCACCTGTACCAAACAGAGTGAGCATGCCCAGATCTGGGAGGCACCCAGGGTCGGCAGCCAGAGCAATGCTCCATGTACATGGGAGGTACAGCAGCCATGTCCCTACGATACAAGAACACAACACAACTCAGCAAGAGATCAGCATCTGAGCAATTACGTCTGAAACTCAAATTATAGATTAAATTCAAAGTTGTTTAAACCTGTAGGTTTAAATCCATCTGAAGAGAAAAGTTACATTTAACACTGACTTAAATTGACTTGGTGTACAGAATATCACAGTTAAGAGTTGAAAATTAGCATTTGTAGCCACAAAGTTCAACATGATTTTCAGCTGCTTTTTCACTGAGACTTTTCCAAAAATACATATTACAGAGAAGATCAGTCATCAGATATTTGGAACAGCTTCACAAGACCACTTTGCCTATATGTTTCTACAAACATATAGTACTTTAAATCTGAGGATTTTAGATTGCCTGTTTTGTAATAAAAGGCAAAGATGCTGTTGTTTATTCCATGATTATGTTAAGTGAATTAATAAATAAATGCAAAGGGTGGTCACAACAAATACTGATTTAATCTGACAAATTAAAGCTATTCATGGCATTATTTTCATAAGGATCCTCACTTTGCTTTTGCACAGTGCTATTACATAAAATTATTTAAAATGCGACTTTCATTAAAAATAAATGTACAAACCAATAGGTTTGTCGAGCCTCATCAATCGGAGGTATGGCTGGACAGGCGCTGGTGCTGAATTCACAATCGTAGCAGCTGATAAACTGAGTGATCTTCTCCCATAATTCTGAGTTTCACGTAGTCTGACTGATGGGCGGATTGCACTCTTGCTGTAAAACACTCTTCTCAACACACTGGAGTCTGAGTGGAGACCATATTTAATCCTTACTCCATCCTTATGAAGGAAGCAGTCTGACAGTGAGTAAAGACAGGGGTAGGCTCCATGGTGAATCCTCCTCAGGGCATTCAGAGTCAACTGGCTGATCAGCTTGGCTTGGAGCATGGTGTTTCCCTGAAGTCAGACTGACATTCTTTTTTTCCCCAAAAAGTGTCACCCCTGAACACACAGAACCACACAGAGACACACAATGGTTTGACAGTGGCTTTTTCACAGATGGGGGGGGGGGGGTTTGCTTGAACATGCATTCCTTTTGTGCTACACTGAATAAGCTGCACAAAGACTGACATGTCATGTTCGTATCAAGAGTTGTGTCTCTCTTAGCTGTGTGCATGTAGCTGCAGCATTAGTTAACTGTTATAATAGTCTATCTGATTAAATTAGGTGTGCAGGTTACGATAACAAAGCTTGTAAGTAGATAAAATCACACGCTAAAAAGTACACGCTAATATTATTGCCATGCACTTCATACTGCAGATATAATGAATGTTAGCCACAAACCGGCTCTTAAGTTGATTCGTATCAACGTTAACCTGCGTTTGACAGAATAAAGTGCAATGTAACGGTGAAACAAACTTACACTGTAGGTTACAGAAGAAGAAAAGATATTAATTTTGAATGACAGAGGGCATCACACCGGCGGTTGCAGCACTAATGTTGTGATTTCCTGTTATTGTACGCCGGATATCGTTCCGGGGGAAACAGTGTTCGAACTCGGAACGAATGTGTTAACCCAATTCACTTACTATCCACTGTTGTCTTAACATTACAAATAAATATTGATTATCGTTTGATAGTTGTTCTACAAAATCAAATCATTGCTTTGAGGAAACATTAAAGACTATACGGAGCGCGCACATGCACATGCACATGCACACTCAAACACACACACCTAATTGCTGTGTGCAGGCTTCCGTTCATTCTTATTTATAAAGGTGGTGGGAGAGAGAGGGATGAAGGGTCGGTTCGATATATGGTTGGAACGTAAAAGGTTTAGGGATTGTTGCACAGCTTAATCCAATCTAAATAACTGAGGAACAGTGTTGGGTCTTTGTAAATAATGTGGGAGCCTAATAAATGTAAAACTAGTGTATATACTAGCAAAACAGCTCAGTGATGTATACAAATTAAATAAAAACCAAGATTAAGTGTAGTTGTAAGGTGTTGAGCCAAAACAGCTTCAGTGGTTGTTAAACTGGGTTGAGATCTGGTGATTGTGAAGGCCACAGCATATGATTCACATCATTTTCATCCTCATCAAACCATCCAGGTCACCAGGGGTGACTAGTGGACACATTGAACACATGGATCCAAAAGCCATTTAATCATTTATTTTGTTTAGGAAATTCAGCATTGAACTGATGGTAGGATGCATGGATGGATGGATAGATGGATGGATGGATGAATAGATGAATGGGTGATTTCTTCAGTACAACAAACAAAAGTAAATACCTTGCTATGCATACCACAAAATAATAAGGAAAGGGTAACTAAAACATCGGATATTCTTGATGCATCCAAAGGAAAAAAAGGAATCTCAATCATCCACCAGGGTTCTGTTTATCCTGTTAACAAAGAACATAATTAAATACAGGATACAACTTTATTACCTCTGGTTCTAAATTACAACAATTTCCCTTACAATAATGACAACAACAACAACAACAACAATTTTGAGGTAAAAAAAAAACTCATAAATTATTAGCATCAGAGCCCCATTCATTGTTAAAGAGCAAACTAGGATGACATTGCACATTTTGGTAATTTTTGACACGTGTTCTAGGATTACACTGGACTTTACTTGATGAATATGACCAAAGCAGCAGAGGCAGTCAGCAGGACATTTCCAGGGATAGATGAGTGGAGCTATAGAGTGAAAGAAGAAGAAAAGAGGAGGGAATGTGAACAGAGTGAGTAAATAAAATAAAATACTGTCAGATAATATTACAGTCCATGTACATGTTGTTTATCCTATGATGCTATTCTTTAAAGAAATGTAATATCATTAGAGTAAATGTTCTTCTTTCAGCCTAATATTCAGTTCAGAGCCATGAAGACATTTACTTGGCCTTGTTGTGGATCCATGAGTGCTCATTAGAGCAGCACATATTATTATGGTCTAGCTTTAAATGTAGATTTGTCACCTAAACATTAAATCTGGGCATAGTGCAACAAAAATAGATGTCAAGATTAGAGATGCTGTTTATGCCAAATTCATTTCCCACCTATATCATGTAAGTTCAAAATAGTCACATCAGACAATCTTTGCCTTTTTTTATGTGACACTAAGGAAAATTAGTCATTGTCAAAATCTGTTGTGTTGTGGTTAGATTCAAAATATGGTGCAGGTTTAGGATGATTTTTTCATTTTTTCACTTTCATGTTTTCCCAAATGATATACAAATGGTGCATTTGCGTCCCACAGTATTGTGGGAGAGAATCGGTGAGGAGTCCTGATAGAGGTCTGGACGGGTGTCATGACCCTTACCTTCCCGTGTGTGCTGAGTGACTTGAACGCAGCAGGAGAACGCCCTCTCCCAGAGCCATGGGATCCGCCCTCTCCACCCGGATTAGTCGAAGCCTATTGGTCAGCGCAACCGTCAATCAAACGCCTGTTATGTTCTTTTCCAGTAATCCCAGCCTACACTGGCTTCATTGGGAATGGGCTAACTACACGGCGCGGAGACGGGACTGTGGAGATATCGACACTGAGCTGTCAAAAATAATTGTCACGGGTTTTTAAGAAACGGGATTACTGGATATAGAGCAGAACAGCACTGAGAAGGATTTCTTTCTACATTAGAGGTAATTTTGGTTTTATTTGTGAACTCAAAATAACAGTTTAATTATAGTACGTGGATAGCTACTGTTGCTAGCAGTGTTTTCCCCCAAAACATCAGTGGCCTGTGTGTTCCACTGTGTGTGGTTGGGTACTGGCCTGGTAGTGAATTTGACATGTAAAATGTCAACCCAGTTTATCCACATTATCTACACTGTCTCTCTTGATAAGATGCTGTGAGAATGGCAGCTAAATTTATAAAGTATAATCACTATCCGTTGTTGTTTAAGATGAGACTTGCTGTTACGGTATCCATCATGCTGCCCAGTTGCTAATGCTAATGATGAAAGCCGTCCTGCGATGATGCAGTTTGGGATATCTGCTATAGTTACCACTTTTTTTTGGAAGAACAGAATCAGAGTAAAAAACAGCTATTGCACATTAATATGTACACGGTTATAATCCAGAGGAGGCATGATTTTACACCTTGGTGTCATTTTTGTTTATTGGGGTCCACCAAGGTGAGATGTACAATATTATAATGTGTATTTCGTCATCATGGTTGTTTTTTTCACAGACTGAAGAGGGTCAGAACTAGGGCTGAACGATATGCGAAAAAGACATCTCTGTAGCACCACAATGCTTAATTTATAATAATATGTCTTGACACATTTTACCTTATCAAAAAATTCCAGGCCCTGCAGTTTGCATATTGCGCTTGGCAATTCTCTGTTAATATTTCGTTAATCATTTAGTTTCCCTGCAAGTGTGCTGCAGAATGGATCCACTACACAGCTGCTTGTTTTCTTTCTTGGTCTTAAAAGGAGAGGATTTGTGTTCATTTTTACACTGTCTTGTGAAAAAGATAGTAGGGCTGGATACCTCCCAATTTGATTTGATTTTGATTCACAAAGTCCACTTAAATTCACTTTAATTTTCAAGTGAGCAACACTGTTGTTTCCTTCAATAGAAAGTTGTGTGAAATTGAAAGTGATACAAATAGCCTATAATGTGTTTCTCATGGAGTTCTTTTCCTCTTTTTAGTTTTTTGTAGTTTATTTACTTATTTAATAGGGGTAATGCAATTTAACATAGTTCCAATTCAGAGCATGAAACTGATGCACAGAGAGTTTATAGATATTGCTAATTTTCAACTCTTGTCCCGAGTTGGGCTTTACATATACAGTGTAATTAAAATAGTCGAGTTTCATTATCTTAAATCCAATACACTACAGATATAGGAGTAGAATAAAATTCTATACTGAAATGTACTGATTGTGCTGTACAATCTAAGGAGAGACGATAACAACAAACAGACAATACAATTGATAACACCATACAGTTAGCTAAAATGGTCAGATGTACAGTCTAAAAAGACACAGCAACAGCAAAACAAGTAGACAAATAGTCAAACAAAACAATTAACAATACGATACAATTAGCTACAAATGGGTACAGCTCTGATTTGCTTTTAGCCATCATCAGTTAATCTGATTTCAGTTGGTAATGTGTTCCAAGGTTGACAGCCCTTTATGGAGAAAATAGGCCTTTATTCTTCTTCTAGTATTTTTCTCACAGAAAACATGGTGGAGATGTCAGATTCTTTTAAAACTTTGATCATGCACTAACACAACCTACTCAGTAATAAGTTATTGTAACAGGTGACACAAATTGTGCACTAATTATAATGTTTCTTCATGTGACCATTTCAGAACTGTAACACATAAAAAAAGTGGAAATAGAGAAAGTGCATCAAAAGGAGACAGTTGAGGTGGATCAACAATCACTTGTTCACAGGTGTTACAGTGGCTGCAGCTGCAAACAATTCCTGTTATTCCATCTTTAACATTTACATGCATTTGCATTCAACAGATGACAGACTAATATTAACCTTAATCCTTTTATCGCTCCTTTTCCCTTGGTACAGTCTTCCTCTTCATTGTACCTGGCACAACAGTAGCCTCACTGTTGGTATGTTTTCTTTGTTACCAGTCACTTGGCTGTTATTGTTCCAAAAAAAGATGAGAGTAGTTTGTTGGAGGGACATACCTTTGATTGTCAGTGTGTTTTTTATTGTCTTAAGCCATTCATTTAGAAGCAAACATCTAAAAGCAAATTGTATGTTTTTAAAGTGACTTTTACTCACTTCCTGTTGCTTCTAACATTTACATTTTACACTCATAAAGGGTTACAAGGGAAAAAGGAAGGAAGGAAGTGCTGTTTGGTTGAGGTCCAAAAGTTACACACACTCAGGACTGAATGTCCCTTCTCTACTGAGGTCAGCACACCGACATTTCACACAGACACACTCATCTGTTACCCCTCTTTTTTTTTTATAAAACTTATTCTCTCACCAGCATCCGGTCTTCCTCTAGTCCCATTCAAAGGTCAAACATAATTAGCTGCAACTTTAGCTCATGTTTCAAAATGCCACCACACTTAAATGGTACACTAGAGCCACTGTGTGCTTATTTCTTTGGTCCTGGTGGTCATCTTATGACAGCGTAATGACAGCGTTGCTGTGTGTAGGCTGAGAACAGACACACAAGTTTTCCCTGGATTTGGCTTCAGCTGCCATCCCACACACTTTCAGTTAAGACGATACTGTCAGAGGTTTTGATATTTGTTTAAAAATGTGGATGTAATAGTAAGATGCTTCAGGGTTGGTGGCTGTGTATAAAGATAGATGAAGATAAAAAGGGTTAGATTGGGTCTACTACTGCTTGGAAAACACTACAGCTCACATATAAAAGGTTTCATCACAATCAGATGTCTATTTAGATAATGATGAAACTTTAGTGTTTTCCATGAGCAGGTTTTTTTTTTTATCTCTGAGCAGTGGTAGTTTGGTGTAATTTTGGTTTTGGCTCCAGTTCATTTTTATATTTGTCTTGGTTTCTAACAGGGATAACATTTCACTTTATACTTTAGGATGTCTTTTAAACTGAAACTAGTGTCAGGGGCGTCGTGTGGCATGTGTAGAGGCTACAGTCCTCGCTGCAGTTGGCCCCGGTTCTCGTCCCGCATCGGACGGCCTTTGCTGCATGTCATTCCCCCTCTCTCTGCCTCCCCATTTCCTGTCTCTCTCTGCACTATCAAATAAAGGCATAAAAAGCCCAAAAAAAAATATAAAAAATAAAAAAATAAACTGAAACTAGTGTTGAAACAGTTGATAGATCAGTAGCTGTTTGATTAATTATTTATCATTGACTGTTTTTTGTCACTATTGATGCAGCATTTATCAAATAATAATACCAAACATAAGGTGGCTACAGCTTGTCAGACAAAACAAATTAAAACATCCCTTTGGGCTCTGGAAACTTGTTAGGGTGATTTGTTATTATTTCACACTGAATAGTTATTGGATATAACAACTATTAATTCCAGGGCAACGTTAGCTGAAATACAAAATGGTTAGTATGTGGAGTGAATTTGCCAGGCCAACACAAATACACACTCATTCAAAGAAAACACATGTAACTTTGCGTATGCCAGTAACTGTTTAAATCCCTGAATTAATATACTGGATATGGGGATATGTTACATATTGACCAGTTAGATTTGAATTTGATTTTAGTCCCAGCTAATGTTTAGATATCTAAGCTAAGGACAAATGAGGTCTTTTAGAGTGAGCGTGGTTTCTGAGAAATGACTGCATGGCAGGGTGGTCAGTCCTGCACAGTATATTTTGTGTGTGAGTATACCTGGACATTTTCCATGGCTCACTCCAAAAGGCTTTCTTTCACAAATGAATAGTCAAACACAACAGTGGCAAAGTCCAGTGTTTAGAGAGGAGGCAAACTCCGAATCACGACGCTGTTTTTTTTTAGGTGAGTCAGGTTTTTTTTTTTTTTTTTTTTTTTCCGAAAATAGGACTTCTGCCCGCATACAGATGAAGTTTGGGCTTGGTTTTTAAGTAACAACAAGATCCTTGTGGTTTTTGTAGTTTGTGGTCATATTTATTACTGCTGCAAGGACAAGGACCAGAGCCCAGCTAAGAGGTATTGATTTGTGTGTTGGTGTGCATTTGTAGCTATCAGTTTCTTGGTGAGATTTCCCAGAATCTGTGGCTGTTTTTCCCGCTTCCCATCAATGCAGTATAGTTTTTTTTTTTTTTTTTTTCAGGGCTTGAAGGTCGTAGGATATATTGGAGGTTGTAAAACATTTCAGCCTGGTGCTGAAGTTGGAAAAGTAATGTTCTTTAGGATCGGAGATCACTAAAACATGTAATTGCTCTTTTCATGTGGGGGCCCACTCGGCCTGTTGCAGGCTCAGAAACCATTTTGGTGCAGGCACGTATGTGTGTGAAACACTGACCCTAAACAGCTGTATTTATGTTGAGCCATGCCTCTGAATTTAACCTGGAGGTGATGTTTTTTAAGCCAGAAACCCCCAGCAGCACACATTTGTTTAGACCTTCTTGTTTTTTTTGGCTGCAGAAATAGTTGCTGGATGGAGGCTCTGCATTATTAACATTGTATTAATCAAACATCAGTGTGCCTCCGGTTTTTACACTACCATGAAACTTCACAGTAAAAAACATTGTTGTGCATACAAAGCCTACAACTGGATGGGTGTGACCTTAAAGTTCCACCATGTACGCTACATGCCTGAATAGGAGTTCTTTTTAAAACCATATGTGAAACCACTTTAAGAGCCAAAAATAAAAGCACATCCAGGATTTGAAATTCCTCTCTCAGTCCTGCTGCTGCAGAATCACCCAAAGGAGAGAAAATGTGCACAGTGATTAATAACACAGATTTCTTTAGACTTCATGACAACAAACAAGCTGTGTTTTGCTTTCATTTCAACGCTGTAACTCAATTTTTGTTTTATAAACTCTAGATCTTTTTTGTTTACTTATTTATAATACTTGTATTCCTACACCAAAAGGTTTTCAAAAGCCCCTTGTAATATTTTTTTTAAAATCTGACCCACATATTTTCATGTCCAGCATCCACTTGTTTTTACCACTGCATTTTATTCCTGTGTTTGCATTCTGTCTTCAGTCTTTCACCAATGATGAGATAAAAATGAAACTAACTTGTGACTTAGAATGAAACTTTGAGGAGGCACTAAGATAAGCAGAGGGAAAAAAATGTGCTGCCGTCCTCATTTCCCATTATGTGTGCTTTCTCTTCTCTTAAAATAGGGTGTATTTGTTTGTGTAGCCTCATGTGCAGTGCCATGAAGGGCTGCAAGTCGAAAGATTGTTGAAGATTGCTGTCAGAGTTTGAGAGCAGGGCTGTGTTTTATTGTTGTTTTTTGTTGATGCTGCTTATTTGTCCACAGGATTATGCAAAAAGTACTGAACCAAACTTGGTGCGGGGGTGGGTAATGGGCCAGGGAAGAACCTATCAAATTTCAATGCAGATTCGGATCATTTACTATGAATTAGAATTTTTTTCCTCTGAAGTCTGGTGTATTTTGTTGCTTTTAGGTTGGATAGACAACTGTCTGCAAAGATGGACATCTATCCATGTTTGTTCACACTGAGGATTTGCAGTGGTCACATTTTAAATCAAATGAAATAACCCACTGAGGTTATATTAGGGTAACACTGTACTGTCTGCATAATCCATTGTTGTATTTGTTGTTTCATCTTATGTTTGGAGTCCTTTATTCAGCCATGAAAAACAGGCTTTGCTTGTGTGTTTGTGCGTGCCTGTGTATTTTGTGTTTAGCTTGTGTTGTTGCCGTAATGGGACAGGCAGTATTTGCGGGCATTGTTTTATCAAGGTACCAAGCAGTTTGAGGCCTGTCCCAGCATGACTCAAATGAAACCAGACAACCTGCACCGCAGCATCTTGGTGACAGTTAAACACACACAAAAAGAGTTATGTGCACAGACATGCACATGCACGTTCATCCAGGCTAAGGATCATCTGCGGATTTTTTCAATTAATCATTTGGTCTATAAAATGTTAAAAATAGTAAAAGATGCCCATCTCAATTTCCTAAAGCCCAAGGTGATGTCTGTGAATTGCTTGTTTTGTCAGACCAACAGTACAAAACCCAAACCTATTCAGTTTATGAGCACATAAGTCAAAGACAGAGTAAATCCTCTTAATGGAACCAATAAATGTTAATCAATTATCAAAATAGTGGCTGATTAATGTTCTGTCAATTGATTGATTGATGGGTTTGGTTCTATTCTTAATTTTGTTAACTTATACATTGAACCTGTTTGCTGTAAAAGCTTCAGTTAGCAGTAATGTTGCCTATCATTGTTTATTCCATAACATTGTTATGGTAGACTGGGTAGGAGGAGCACAAAATGTAATAGTACAGGTGTGTAGTTGTTGTGGTACAGGCATCCACAGCCAGTGAGCAAGTCTTGGCAGTGTAACCCTTTATCTAAAGGTGTCCGGGAAGGAGGTATGTTGTTAGTAGAAGTGAATACACGTGACCTTTCACTTAGTATAGTTTATGCTAGTGGAAAATAACTTCTCTGGAAAAAAAGGTTCCATATAGTTGTACATGTTTCTTCAGGTGTATTTTCATTGCTTCCAGCTGCCTTGAATAGAGGTGTTTGTGTCTGAGGGTTTGTTAAGCATGCAATGCAAATAAATGCTGCTGTGCATCCTGCGAAATGTAGCTGCTGATTGTTTTATTTGAAGAGTTTGTATTTCTGTCCTAACTTTTCTCTTGCTTTGTGGGTTTGGAGGACTGTACTTACACGTTTGGCTATGTATATCTTATTGAAATGATACTGAAACTGAAATTAAAGTAACTGTAAGTGTAGGTAAGGCACTTTCTTTGTATTTGTATTGCACCCATTAAACAGAGGTAATTCCAAATGCCTTACATATGGACCCGCAGCTCCCAGCTGTCTTTGTCTCCAGCTCTACTGTCTCTGTCTACCTGATCTCCATCTGGCTATGACCAAAACCTGTAGATAGTAGCATTCTTAGTAGTTAAACAGCAAAACCAAGCATTCAGCATTCAAAAACTACACAAGCTGAGAAGAGGACAGATGAACTGGATAAACAAGGGCAAGCTTTACTGCACATAAACAACATTCTCTGACCCTGTTTCCATGTCTAGGCTGAAAGCAGCTGCCAGAGGGATGTGTTTTCTTGTGTTGATGTAAAATTTGGCTTTTCCTGGCAGTGTTACCTCAGGCTTTAGAGTGCATTCATACAACACGCACAGCTGATGGGGAATCATTGTGGAAACTCAAAAAGGCACAACAGATTGCAACACCTCCCCAGAACCTAACAGGGATAGGCGCAAACTAGCTGAATCTCTAGAGAAATTTTATGAAATTACTGTGCATACCAGAACATCCATTGAATAAGTGCATCATGTTCACATGACTCCAACTTCACAGTTTCACAACAGCTGTCCCCAGCCTAATGCCACCTTCACAGCATGAAACAGCCCTGTGTCTTGACAGTCGGAGTTCTATTTAAACAAAATAGGTTTTTCCCAGTTAGCTGACAAATCTGTCTGTGTGTTAGCAAATGTCTGTTGCATTCATTGCACAAACACCATTCCCCTCCTCTGCTGTCTTTTCCCACAGGGCGCCCTCTGTCTGCATCTTGCCTCTTGGGATGTCTAGCACGGTGTTACTGTAGCGGAGAGGACCACCACCTTTGTAACTGCAAACAGTGACTCGGCATGTTGATCACCATGCCTCGCTTAAGTGTCACTCCCAACTCAAAGCCTAACTGTAGCCCTGTCTGGCTCATCTGTGTTGTCCTGAGCCTCTTGGCTATACACACTGATTCCAAAGACGGTAAGAACTGGACTACATTAAGGGAAAGTTCCACCCTTGACATTCAATAATCAATAAATCAATAATCTGCAATGCTCAGTGCACATGATGTCCGCAAAGTGGTGAATATTGATTCAGTATAGCAGGTGCATATGGAAAGGTTTGCACTTTGGGGCTTTGGGGCCAATTTGAACTTGCAATGAGTATGTTTACTATGCTATTTAAATCTTTTAATCCTGTTCTGATCTTTTTTTTTTTTTTTTAGTCCTCAGTGTACCCCAGCAGTTGAGCCTCTCAGCCAACAAGCATACACAGCAACTGTCCATATCATGGCTTGGAGGAGCGGCCACAACATTTGACCTCATGATTCTAAGAACTGAATTCAATGAAACTGTCTTCTACGTAAGAACATTTCTTTCTTTTTGAATTTGTTCTCTCACTTTTGTTATTGTTCAGTTGCTTTACAAGTTGGTTACATTCTCATGTGAAAGGAGCTCTAACCTAATAGATATAGGATTTTTGAGGCTGATGCTGATACTGAAATTTGAGTCTCAAAAATCTGATAATGAAATATCGGCTGAGTTATTTTTTCTTTTTTACACATCTCAACACAAGTATACATTTTTGATAACAATTTGTGATTAAGACTGAGCAGGACAATTTACAGTTTACAATTAATATTCCTGGTGGACAAACTATAGCAACACTGTTTCAGAACATGTATATAAAACTATAATGAGCTATTAATCAGCCTTGCTGATTAATTGGCCAAATATATTTTAATGATTATGCTTTATAGTTAATTTGACTCTGTAGCACATTTTGCTATAATAGTTGATTTGATTTTACATTATATCATAGGTTATGCAGATGATATAATGATCAGAGGAGTGTGTTTGTTTTCCTTGCTGAGTTACTGTGTGACTGTCATCATCTACCAGCTTCATTTTGTTCTGGTTCATCCCCTCACTGTTTTCTCTCTGTGTTATTCTTCTTATTTGTAGGAAACAGTGTCTGTGGCAGTGAATCAGGTGAGTGGTAGGCACCAGTGGAACTGGAGCTCAGTTGAACCTCTGGAGTGTACCTCGCTGTCCATCAAAATCCGCTCAAGAGATGGACAGACAACAAGTGAATGGAGCAACACTCAGATACTTCAAGGTTAGAGGGACAGTAATTACATCCATAGATATTATAGGATACCATTAGAGAAACATAAATACTGCTTTGCCTGACCTGTCAATTTTGGATTAACATAATGCATTTATTCATTCAGAGGGAGTTGAGACCATTTCTAATTCAGATTCTTTTTCTCTGCGAAATCTTGCTTTTAAGTCAAAAATAAACAACAGTCATTTTTAGTATCTAAATATAGATATGTATTTATACCTCTCTCCCTTTTAACACTCTGCTTTTGTCTTTCTCGCTCACTTCTTCTTTTCAGGAAATGATCTCCCCAGCAATGAGAAATCCCAGATGTACCCTGATGACAGAGTTGTACCTGTGGGGGCCAACACCACCTTCTGTTGCATTGTACAAGAGGGGAGGGTCTTTGATACCATCCGCTACAGCGGCACAGTCATGAACACGACACGACTGAGTAGACGAAGTTACGCCACTACAGTGGTTAATCGTGGACCGTCCGGCAGCTCGGGAAACAACGTCATCTGTTACGACAACCTGGGTCTGACTGGAACCGTGGTGTTTGTTGGATGTAAGATGTTTTATCTAAGATGGATGAAGGTGGTTGGAGTGGCAGAGAGAGTTAGCACAAAGTAAATTGGTCAGACAGACTGAGAAATGATAGATGCCTCTGAAGGGGGCAGTGAAAGATGCAACTTGTTATACAGCTTGTGAATTTTTATTGTCGATTTAAGAGTTAAGAGAGTTGAAACAGCTCTAACTGCTTGAATTTTCCTGCTGATGTGAATGTGATGCATGTGAAAGAGTCTATAGGTTATTCCAGAGCTTGTCTTGGTAATTATTCAAATGTATTTACTCTTTATTTATACATGTATATGATGAAGCAAGTAAGCAACTTTCTTCTTGGTGTCCCCATCCCCAGATCCACCACTGCTCAGTGATTTTGTGTGTGAGACTCATGACTTAACCTCAGCTGTATGCAAATGGAGTGAAGCACGAGACACACACCTCTATGGCAGAAGAGGAACAGTCTACTCGCTGAACAAGAGGTAGCATAGTCACAACACAAACACAATTAATGGAAATAGCTAAACCTCCCCTCAGCTCACACATGTATGCAACATAATGGCTGTAACCCGATCTGAAACCTTATACTTGGGCGGAAACTATAGGCCTTGGGGTTAGGTGGCAGAGCTGTACACACTCACGCTTTCACAAAAAGCAGGCCACACCTTCTAAAATGTGTTGAACAGGACACATGTTCAGCACGTCTCTCATTTGGAGACCGATTTCTTAACAGTTCTCAAAAATCCAGACCCACTTTTCCAGGCCGTCTTGGAGTTGTTATGCAGTCCACACAGTTCAATGCTCCCAGCATTAACACCATTGTGAACACACTGAACGACAAGCCTATTTAATCATACAACCGAATCTGTGTCTGACTCACATCCCAGACGCGATAAAACAGGAAAAAGTAAAGACACAATATTTTGGAAACACTCAGTAGAGAGTCGTAATGGTCTGGGATGGAGGTGGCAGTGATAGACTGATGTGTGTTTTTTGTTTATTTGTTTGTTTTGGCCAGATTCATAGCCATTCCTGGACGTTCCAGGATGTGGCACAATGTCACTTTGTCGCTGAGAAAATATCTCTGTATTATTATCGATCGTTCCCCCTGCCTTTCTCAAAAATTTGTTTTCTGCCCAGTGAAAAAATCTACCAAGAGAGAGGATGACAAGAAATATAAAGCACTTAGTCTGACTAACTACTTGCTGCTTCTGTGTGGACTGATAGTGGACTGGCTAGCGGCCAGACCTTTTACAGGAATTGCCTGAAGGCTGGCCATAGACGCTGTTACATTATGAATGTGTGTGGGCCTGTGTCTTTATCTGTAGGTTAGATGAGTGTCTAAAGTGATTATATTTTATTTAAAATTGAATTTGGTTGTTTTCATTTTCACATTCTCAGTGAATCTGCCTTTTATTCTTTATCTGTTTTGTTTTGTTTTTAGGAATTGTACACAGGACAGACCACAGCAGAAGTGGAAAGAGTGTAGTGTGTCCCAGTGGGAGGGTAACTGGACGCTGGTAGCTGTGAATTTTCTCGGCCAGTACAGCCTCACTGACTCTGCTGAACTCAGTCACAGAGGTTGGTGTATTACCCTTGCGTTATCAAAATCATCTGACCTTGTTTTTTTAAACCAAATTTTCAAAGTAGAGGTAAACATAGACATGAAATACTCTCATAATAGTTGTTTTTCATCCTCCTTAGTTGTCTGATTGTTGTTTCACCCTTTCTCCTCAGTGCATCCAGTCGCACCGGCCAACCTGAGATCTGTCGTCCATGCCTTCAATGCGACTGTGCTGTGGGAGTGGAAGTACGACAGCTATTCCTTCCTGGCTCTCGTCTGCCAGGTAGCGCTCACCTGCCATGGATCCAAAACAAATGTGAGTTGTTTGAGTGTGTGCTAAGGTGTGTGTGTGTGTGTGTGTGTGTGTTGCAGGGGATGACCATTTCTTTATTTGTTTGTATTCGGTTGCTCTGTCTGTATCCATATACAGAACCTTTCCTCTCAAATGGTTTCTGTTTGTGTGTTTTCCGTATGGCAGCGTAGCAATATCACTTCCCTTCTTCTACCGCATCTCCATTACAACATACTAATGATGTACTACATTGCTTTTAATAATGTTTTCTCCACTTGTGTGACCATCAACGTACCAAAGAGTAATGAAGTCTGATGTGTGTGTCCAGCATACCTTCTCAGGTGTGGGTCTGCAGTCGGTGGTGTTATCGGACCTTTATCCTGATGAAGATTACACTGTTCAAATCAGCTGCGGTGCCCAGCAGAATTTCTGGAAGTGGGGAAACTGGAGTGAACCATTTACCTTCAAAACCGAAACTTATAGTAAGGGGTTCATTTTTGGTATCTCTTTTATTTTAGTAGAGATTTCAGTGAATTTAGGGCAGCAACTAATTGTCATTAATTGACTCTTAGCAAGTAATTGATGTTGCTACATAATAGACTTAATCATAAATAATTATTACTGATTGCTCTGAAGTATGACTAAAAACACTAAAAAAGGAGATATTTCTCTCTTCTAAAATGTTATAGCTTGTCAGTTACAAAAGACTAGAAATATTAGTACTGTAAAACTTATTGTGAAGGCAGTGTTTCAATTTAAGCCTCATTCATATTAACTTTGACCTTATAAGGTCTTAGGTCTATTCATATACATAACAAACGAGTTCCTTTGACAAAAGATTTGTTGAACAAGGTCCACTTACTAAAAATTCAGCCGCATTTCTGCTTCTTTGAATGTTGGTCAAATGATAACAGATGGTTGTTTAAGGGCAAGTAAGTAAGTAAGTAAATGGACCTTAAGCTAAGGAGCTCAATAATGAACATTCAAGTTCAGAAGATTTCCTTTTTAGCTGTAATTGTCATCTTCATATCACTGTGTGTTTTCAACATATGAAGCACCAGCAGTAATGCTACTGTTTTTCCAACTTTGATCAAGAATATCTTTGTCTTCTTTCAGTTCCAGATGCTCCTGATGTATGGGTGTGGATGAACAGGGACAACACTGGGCAGGTCGTTTGGAAGGTGATTTTTGTTTTTCATCTTTGAATTGAATTGAGTTTTAGGCAGTTTATTTTTACTGTGGAAACCACAGATTTACAGCATGTTCAAATAAACCAGAATCAGATTATGAAAGGGTTCTTGTATTTTAGTCTTTATCCTTTTTGACATACAGAAGGCTGACCTGTTGTAAATATTTCATGAATATATTGCAAGTAAAAGTTGATTTAAAATTGTCTCTTGTCTTTCCCTCTCCCCCGGTTCCTTCCCGTTTGATTTGATTTATTCAAGCCTCTGACACATAGGCAGAGCCACGGTCAGATCACAGGTTATGAAGTCACTGTCTGGAGCGCTGACAACAACGTACAGCACACAGAAATCTTTTCACCAGATACTACTGCTGCACAAGTCAACCTCACACAGATCGCTACCTTCAGCAGTGACCGCAAGGTTACAGCAACCGTCAATGCAAAGAATGCTGATGGGTTATCTCAACCTGCAAGTGTGGTTATACCTCTACATTTGACAGGTATGTGGAAATGGAAAGAGAATTTGTTTGGGATGTTTTACCATCCCAAACAAAGCAAGTAAGACAGCAAAAAGTGACTAGTTTTGTTTATCCTCAAAGGCACAACTTAAACTATATGTGATAGAACAGTGTATGTAACATATACATATTTAGTCAGTTAAGTTATGGGCACTGAGAGCAATTGGATGATTTTTCATTGTCTGTGTGGTTTCACAATCCTGAAAAATTTGTCTTACTTGAAAGACTACAGCAGCTGTCAATTATAAAAGGAGAATGTGAAGACATGCGGCTTCTACATGCTGTATGTATATTTTCTTCTTTCCAGATGTGAAACCTCTTGCCGTGTCCAGGGTGGATTATACGGACAGAGGTTTCCCTCTCTTCTGGCAGAGCGATGCCAATGCCACCTGTGGTTATGTGGTGGAATGGAATGATGCCGTCTGCACACGGGACTGTCCTGTGGAGTGGATCAAGGTGGCCTCTGGAAACACTAATGTCTCAGTTGAGTCAGGTAAGCCATCCTAGAAGCTGCCTTTTAAAAAAAAAAAAAAAAAAAAAAAAAAAAAAAAAAAAATCTGTGAAAATAGAGCATTGTTTTCATCATATTTAAAATGTACTGTATGTATTTCTAAAGTCAGTATAGGCTAAAAACTCCACTGTCTGAAGCGTAACTTGAATCTCTAGTATCTGCCAATAGAGAGGGTTGTCACATATGAAATTATACTGTATAATACATAATAATGTCTTTATTTGCCATCAGCCAACTTCCAATCGGGTGTGAGGTACAACTTTTCCCTGTACAGCTGCTCCTCAGATGCCCCAGTACTGCTGCAGCGCTGGCAGGGATACATGCAGGAGCTGGGTAAGGATAGCACTGCATGTGGAAAGCTTACCCTTTTAGAAAAAGCAATGACTTCAGAAACCGTACCTGTGCATTTTAATTGCTAACTCCTTGTTCTCATTCTCTCTGTTATACTGCCCTCGCTTCAATTTTCTTTTTTCCCTTCCTTGCGGCTTCCACAGTCCCCTCCACTTCTGTCCGCCTGTCAATCAGTCAGCAGAACTCTGATATTCTTCTCACCTGGGAAGAGATTGCAGTGGTCAACAGAAGAGGCTTCCTCCTTGGCTACAAAATTTACAACAGCACTGGCTCCGAGCTCAAACTTCTAGGTAAATATTCTGGTAGAGAGCTTGAAAAAGGAATCATATACAAAAAAAATGCACAATTCGTGTTATTACAACAATCAAAAGCAAAATATATTTTAGAAAGTGTATTTTGTAATATGTTAAACTTTCCTCTTCATTGCTCCCTCTCCTGCCTCTCTCCTTTTCTCCTCCTTTCTTTTCCTTCCTTTGCCTCTTGCCCTTTGTTTTTCACCCTGTCCTTTGAACAGCCAATCTGCCAGAGCAAGGAAGCAGGAGCTACATAGTAAAGGGAGTCACTGACGGCTCCCATAAATTTACTGTCAAGGCCTACACCTCAGCAGGCGAGGACACAATCGCCACCGGCTCCATAACGCCGGAGCCATACAGTACGTGAATGTATAGCTATGTGTATAGCAACGACATTGGTACTGAACAACATTTGTGTTGATTCTACAATTATTACTGTTACTGTTATTTGAGTCTACAAAAGAGGCTTCTTTTATAAATAAATGCTTGCAGGTAACCACATTTGGGTTCAGTTTACACAGTGGGGAAAAATATCTTGCTAATATCTCTAATATTTCTTCTGTCCTGTCCTAACAGATGATTGGCTGATCATGGAAGTCTTGATTTCTCTGGGAGTCACAGCCTTATTCCTGGTCATTGTCACCTTCGTTTGCTACAAGAAAAGGAAATGGTGAGACTTTTTGCTCCTTTCCCGTGTCTCTATATGTGTTTCATAGTAATGTAACAAGTACACACAAAGCAACATTTGTGAAGATATCTACCACACTGGCAAAAACCCAGTTATTTTATTCTCTACACTGCGTTGAAGATGAGCTAGTAGGTGGTATTATTTGATGATAATGTATGTTACATTTTACTCCACCACCAGGGTGAAAAAGGCATTCTATCCAGATATACCTGAGCCCAAGCTGCCTGGTGATTGGTCAAGGACACAGGTACAGTATCGGCTTAATACCATATGACACTCATGATTAAACTCATTTTAAGTTCTATATATAGAACTAACAATTCACCATTCCCTATTTTTGTGTTTTTGATCATTCGTGGTGATAAGACTTAGGCCATTTAAACTGACAAAGTCTCTGAATGTATTACAGGGGCCGTTGGATGTGAAGCCATCTTCCCACAGTATCATCCATATCGTAGAAAAGCCTGAGTGGGATTCTAGTAAAGAAGCGCTTGTCGTCATTCCCGAAGAAGATGAGGATGAAGAGGGGATGGGAGACGAGCCAGTTGACACAGATGAGCCGACGTCATTACGCTACTACAACCAAGTAGTGGATGAGAGGCCCATAAGACCACGTTTCCCCGACTCCTCTACTTCTTCTGCATCCTCTTTGGATTCAGGACGCACCGATGTGACATACACAGGGATTCAGACATCAGGGTCTTCGTTGGTCTTCCAGCTGGATCCACAAGGCTCCTCTGAGGGCCACCAACCCCATGCTGATCAGTCTGTCATCTGTGGGGGTGGAGGAGGGGGCTACCGCCCCCAGATGCAACCTAGAGCCCAAAGTGATGACATGGGCCTAGTTTCACCTGAGCCTTTCCTAGAGCCCCAGGCTGCCAGTGCTGGGGGCTACAAACCCCAGAGCTCCTGGCATTTGGACTCCCCTGTGGAGGCCGGGGAAAGTGGCGGCCTGGCACCCTCTCTTGGGTCCCCCACGTCTGTCGCCTCCACTCAGTTCCTCCTCCCTGAAGGAGAGGAACACGCAGAGGAGAAACGACAGCTGTCATCATCAGCAGCAACCTGGTTCACCAATCTGCTGTCATCCACAAAACCTTGATATCATCTCTGTCTCACTACTAGCAGCCTGGCCAGGGGCGTTTGACATAAAACTTTCGGAGTTATTACTGTTACCAGTCTCATGCATCAAACCAGCTTAGCCCATATGGTCTAGGTAAATGTCCCCTCTGATGTACCACTGCATCCATACATTAGCACTTTGACAGCAGGTTAATAATGCTATTTAAGGTGTGAATGTCAAACATACAGAAATATGGTACATATACTGTATAGTTAATTTCACTTTCATGCAAATATTATAGATCAAAATCCATATATTTATGTGTCAAAACTGTCCAAAAACAGATCTCTTCAAAAATATTTCTTCAGACCTCTTGTCCGCCATATTTATTGCATCTCCTGGCAAACTGGTGGCTGTTACAATAAATCCTCTCACTGCCTTTTCTGTGACTCCCTATAATGGGCATTTAGCAACGGCATATCCTGTGTTTCAGTTGAGTATATCCGGTTTTTAGCTTGCATTTCAAATGTTTTTATTTTTTGGGATGTGAACTTTACTACACTACAGAAGTAAACTGAAAGCAAGAGAGTTTTGAAACAAATAACGGTGTAAAAATAAAAGGACAAAGAGCACCACAGAACAGATGGTAGCTACGTAGACAGAAAACCTCGCTGTCCTTATAGTATCCATGTCTTCTGCCAGTCAGCCATTTGGGGTAATCTTGCCTAATTCATGACAGCTGATGAGCTGCTGAAAGGAAAGAAGGTATGGCTGTAAAAAGTTGTTAATTGAAAGATGCTCTTATGAACAAGAACCGTCATTATTTTACACAGATACAGGAGTGGTGCTTTCTATTATGGTTTAGAATTATGTGGGTGACGTGCCCAGAGGATATACACTGATATAAGCTAGAACATGAATACAAACTGATGTAATTTAATGAACAAACACACTATTATGTTTCTTTTGAGTGTTATTGTTGTTTTGTCTTTCTAAACCGGTAGTTATTTTCCTTTTTCAATGTTTTTTTTTCTTATTAAGTAATGCATTTCATTGTCAGGCCAGTGTCCTTTTTTTAATGTTGTTATATGTTGTGAATTATCCTCAAGTTGATTATTGATGATATTGAACATATTATGAGAATGAACTTGGGTGGGTAATTACCGTGTTTAAATCATCCTTCACACACTGCCTTTACTCGTAAATGTCATGCATAATGAAAAATAATTTCTACAGTATTGCAGTTCAGGACTGATCACTGTACTGGGAATACAGGTTCCACTGGCACTGAGTGTGATGTAGAAGAAGATGGCTGTTTTTAATCATTTTAGTCAGTGCTGTAATTTCTAAACTTTGGTTACACTATTATTGTCATGATGTTACTGTCAGCCCTCTCGGTATATTTATGTGGATGTGGCGAATCCTTTCTGTTTGGTTGCTTTATTTTTAAGCCCAGATAGAGGGCTGATTTGCTGTGCTTGATACATTTTAAGGAGATTCAAGTCTACAATAGTGTTTTGTTTTTTTTTTGTTGTTGTTTTTTTTTCAAATGTGACTATCTTTTCACTGCAAATGCTTCCTGAAGCCACCATATAAATTTTGTGATTGGAAAAAGGGACCAAGGGGAAAGCATATATGGGGAAATGCTATCAATTGGCTTTTGTTGACAAAAATTACAGAGAAATGACCTTGTGAATGATGGTTTGCTTGACAGCACTTTTGGCATCTCTATAATGGTGTCAAACACAGGGCACTAATTGCCCAAGTACACTTCACATACTCCATTAGCTCTCCACTCATGTGTACAGTGTGGTTGTTAAGGATGCACCATCGGCTGGGCTTCCCAAAAGCATCATTATGCAAATATTATCCTTTGACATTCTAATCAAGTGGCAACCAGGATGTTTGTTTTATGGTATATTTCAGTTAGGCCCTGGCTTGCCTGTGTGGCAGCTTGTGGTCTGTTGTTCCTCAGTGCCTCCAGCCAACAAGCTTTAAGTAAAACTACTGTGACATGAATGATGACTTATATGAACTATAATGGATGGCTTCACTGATGAACTCATAACAGGCAGGCAGGCCTCTTTGACTACTGAAAAAAATGTATCCCCTCTTTCTCTTTAACTTGTAACACTGATCTGAATTTTAACTTGATTAATGGGACGAGGTGGTTGAAAGAATTTGTCAAAAGCTACACTTTGCACCATTCAAATTGGGTAAAGAATTTCATTGCGTGAGATCAGTGATCACTTAAAGGCAGCGGTAAAGGGTGGATATAGTTTTGAGTATTTGAACATGGCTGCAGATTTTTTCCTTTGAAGCCTGCCTTCCCAAACCAGCAGAGCTTTGGAGACTAACCTATGAACGCTATGTGTTACATGCTTTTATGTTGATTTGGATCAACAAAATGGCACTTTTTTTTTTATTTTTCTCTAAATTTTTGTTTTTATATAACTAACTGTACATAATTGACATTTTCTTTCATTTCAATACAAAATCGTTGGTTGTTTTGCAATGGAAATTATATTCCCTATACTACAACATGCAGAGTAAATGTTGACTAACCAGCTTTATTAAGAGAATAAAGGCAAATGTCTGTGTTGATGACACCAGATATATAGAGTCCTATAAAATGTAGAGCGTCACACTTTAACTGTATCTTTGTGTGCTTAAACACATGGGAACCTCTAAAGTGTGTCTGAAAAATCAATGGAATAGAATTGTGATCCTATTCGCTTTATAATAGTTTAGCCTGTTTTGCATTCCTATCTTATCAGAGCAGTGTTGCTTTCGCCAGACACATCATGATAAGTTGGGCCAGAGTACTCACCATGCAGACTTATTCATGGCAACTGCTGACATCCAGTTCTCCATTCTGTCCATTATTTTTTTCCATTGTCCATCCACATTTTTAATTGGAGCCTATGTAACACTGTAGAGCATTACAGTTTTGAGGTCTATACAGCAGGGTACACTTGCTGCCTTACACATCTTTGTCTCTGGCCCTAGATGTTTTGCAAAACCAATGCATGCTGTATAAACTATTACTACAAAACAGTGGCTCGTAAATCCGTTCAACTCCATCTTTGTGTTACCCTATGGCATTATAACACTAACACTGACTAATGTTGTGCATGACGACATGACTGAAGTATTGAAAAAAAAAAAAGCTTTCATTTCTGAAAATGTTCATGATATTTTGCAAGATATTTTACTATTGATTGAATGAAAACCTGCTTCTGAGTGATTAATAAATGTTAACACTAGTAACAAACTGAAATGCTACTTGTTTAAAGGCAATAAAGTTATTTGTCTGGTCACTTATTAGTTTTGTCAGTGTTTTTCACTTTTCTACTTGTCTGGTATAATTTCCACAGAAATTTTAATAACCATCTGCTGACACTCTGCTGACCATAACTGATTTGCTTTACGTCACTGATAAGTTCGTTTTCCGGTCCAATAAATATAAGTTATTGTTTTCTTTCGTTGCCTCATTAGTGAAAGATGGCTGCAATCAAGAGCCGCTAAAAATACTATCGTCCCTGCTGACCTTCTTTAAGGCTGAATTGCACAGGTTCTGGATCAGTTTGTAGCCACTACATCCCCGTTTTTATTTGAAGTGAAATCCGATCCAGGGTGAGATGGGCCCGCCTGCTCCCATGAGTGCCCTCCTGAAGCACCCTTGGCAACCCCGTTGACATGTCGCCATGGCAATTGTGCACCACAGGGATTTCCTTGGTCCTTGTCTGTTTTCAGTCTGTTTATTAGCGAGCTAAAGAGACACACTGTCACCTAGTTTATTTTTATATGGTAGTATACTGTCTGAGTTGAACTTTAATTAAAGAAGATGTCAGATATTTTGTGCAGGTGGCTGAACCAGGAGCTCCGTCTGTCAAAAGCTGTTGGTAAGTGTGACTAAAGTTACAGCTTATGTAGCTACCTGTGAGCTTAGTTAAGGTAACGTTATGGCTAACCCAGTGGTTAATTTGCCGCTAACGGTCACTACTTTGGGGTACTTAAAGGCAATAGCATGTGGATTCACATTCAGCGAACAATGTAAGAGCTATTTTAGAAGCTACATATCAAAGTTAATCAACAAAAAATGTATTACTTAACAAAAAAAACAAGGCATGTTGATTGGTAGGTATTTATAGCTAAGTCTGTGTCAAGTTAGCACTGTGAAATTGCCATAACAGGTACTCCAACTGATTATTTTTTAATATTTTTGATACCCTACTGTAATGGTTGTCAATCAATTTTTAAGTTAAAAACAACATTAAACAGTATCACATGTTGAAAATGTCTCTCTTTGCCTGAATTATTGCATGTTCATCTGCACAGAGCCAAAGACCTTTGCCAAGGATTTCTCCAGTGGTTACCTTATTGGGGAGGTTCTGCATAAATATCAGCTGCAGAACGATTTCAGTATGTTTATGAAGAAAGAGTAAGTTGCTCTCTCTCTCTCTCTCTCTCTCTCTCTCTCTCTCTCTTGCTCTCGCTTTCTCTAGCTGTCTATCCATGTTCCTTTGCTTTGTGGCACTTGAAAAAGTAGTTGACTGCTGCTCAATTTTCCGACTAATATAAAGTGTTCATAAGTTAATTGCACCTTTTCTCATAGCACCTCCATCTCCAAACTGAATAATTTTACCCGCCTTGAGCCTACTCTCCAGTTACTGGGCATCTCCTTCGACATAAACACAGTCCAGGAACTGATGCAGGAGAAGCAGGGTGTTGCCACACGCCTCCTTTATCAACTCTACATCTCACTTGAAAAGAAGAAGAGAACAGAAATCAGTGGGACAATGATGGAAATAATGCAACCAGCAGCCAATGCAGGCCTGCACAAAAAGGAGCATGGCATCTACTCTGATGTAAGAGGGGCTCTATGGATGTACTGTATGTATAGTACATGCATGTGGTTAGGGGCCAATTTCTTGGGAAAAACATGTTTTGATCTATACAAACATATTGAGATATATGTCATTGAGAAGTAGTGTTGTTCTGTACCAGTACTGAAGAAATGTATGATGAAGTATGGCAGCTCTGCCTGATGTTTTAACTTCACATTATAAGTTTAACTTGACATCAATGTCAACAAAAATGTATTTTCAAGTATTTCTTTTTATATAGCGACTGCATCAGGTGGTGAAACGTGATGCAGAGCTCAAGCTGCAGAAGATTTCTGAGCACTATGAGGAGAAATGCCAGCAATTGAGCGACAGGTCTGTCATGACCTATCCCATCCAGCAAAAGACACAACTCAAAGTCCAGGATGAGAAAAGAATGAAGAATATTGAGAAGGTATTGGAGATCATGGAAAGCACAGCATTATATGTACAGTACTGTAATACTGTAATAACCCCTGTATTCACTTAACATAAGGTCAAAATTTATAACCAGACTTTAAGGCAGTCTAGCTTTATATCTTTATCAACATGACATATTTTTCTCAGTTTCATGTTACACAGTTACAAGTCTTTGTAGTATTATAATGTTTGACATTACTATAATATAGTTGATAATAATAATAATAATAATAATAATAACATAACTATAGTACTTAATGAAAACCCTCTTAAAATCATAGTTTCTTGATGATGTAATACAAGGCAATTTATGCTACTGGCAGTGGTGAACATGGGAATCTGTATTTTGCAGCTGCGGATGTGCCATCAGAAGTACAGTGGCATCATGCCTTCAACAAACTCAATGTTCTTGGGCCTGGATTTCTAAAATTGTGTCATGGATTTTTTCTTAAGCACTCAACAGATTCTGATGACTGATGTGGAGTTTGAGAAGGGACTTCTCCTAGATGTAAGATCCCATGGTCTGCAAGCATCGACCTCTACAAACTCTGTGGGCACCACTCTATAGCTGACGCCTGTGTCAGCGAGCCAAAAAATGAAATTTCCTCTGTAGGTTTTTAAATTATCATTTTATTCAATCTGGATCACACCTGTGCTTGGTGTTTTCTGCGTTGCTGCTGCTGTTGTCGCTTCCTTAGGTTGAGCTGTGAAGTGTAGGGCGGTGGCTTGGGTACCTGGACAATAGTGGCCTGGTTTAC